TCCTTACGCTCTGAGGGGTTGTCCTTCCACTTGTAAACCCTAGGTGGCAGTAGTGACCTGCGAGCCACTCCCCGGCTTAAAAGAGGTTTATTAAAGAATAATTAGAATGATGTATGGGACTGTCTGTCTCTATCCACATCCATTTTCCCCCAACATGACTATTTCATGGAATAAGTATCAAATTAGGCGCGCACGGGCTTTGTATGTGGGGCAGTTGAAAACATACACCAACTCTTAGTCATTTATCATCAGGCGTGTACGGCAGTGTCAGTGTGTTTGTGTGCGCACGTGTGATTGAGAAGGAAGATGCACGTTTATGAGTGACATAGGGAACTGCAGCAGCTACAGCTGGCTCTGTGGCATCTTTGAAGGGAAGACATGTTTTCCCTTCATGTTTGTGACAGTCAGCTCTGGACTTCAGATTGTGACTGATGATTTGTTTTTGTTTGAAGACTCTTTGGCATTTTGAATTTTGTGTATAGGTGACTTACTAGATCCACTTAAACCGCATTTAACTACCTTGGATTGTATCCCTTGCATCTTTTCCATGTCTTCAAAAAGCAATGGAGGTCAGCAAAGCTAAATAGTGTCCCACTCACTTCCAGGACCTTTACCAGACTCCGCTAGAGTGTCCCTGCATCCGAGTGGACCACGTAAAATGCCACAAAAAGAACAAAACGGTGATTGATAAGACGGCTGAAACAAGAGAGCGACTTAACAGGGTGGCTGGCTGTCTGTCTTGCTGTCGCTCTACTACTCATGCTCGGTTTCCCCCTCTCCCTTTATGCCTCCCTCTCTCATTCCACCATTGTGCAGCAACAAACACTCCATTCTGACAGCGGTTGAACTGTGCCGATACCCTTGAGCGTGCGGGGCAAAATGGGAGGCTTGTCAAAGCAGTGGTTGTTTACACTCTGCCAGGAATAATAAGAGGGGGTCGTTTTTCTGAACCGATTAATCACGAGCAGCCCTTGTACTTGTTTTAGAGAGCATTCCAGACGCAGAATAAATGTCGATGTGGGGTGGCAATTTGTTGTGGAAATAAAGCAGCTGATTGTTGTTGATCCGGTGCCGTTGCTATATTATTAGGGTCTGTGCGGCGAAGCTGCAGAAGCCACAGGTACAAACTGTTTAACGTCCGCTGCATTTTTAGCAGCGAGCGAGACGCATCGTCATCGCCAGGTTAATGGTTTTATTCATAATTGAAGTGATAACAACAGACAGAGCATCGGTTAGCGTCTTATCATAATACGAGTGGAGACTTATTCCCTGTAGTTGTGCAGAACGACCTATGACCCGGTTTATAGTGATCTCGTTGTTAGGCATTTATTGTGCTGTTTGGCTCATATTTGCTTACTGGCTATCCTTGGGCAACACACTTAGATCTCAATTCTAATGTTATAATGCTGTAACTTCATTATGTATCAAGTGCCCTGAGATGACTTCTGTTATGATTTGATGCTATATCAATAAAAGTGAATTAAATTTACTTGAATGAGATGCTTCAACAGATCAAACATCAACAGATCCATGTTCAAACCAGTGGCTGAATGGAATTTTCCACTTGGAAATCACCAGGCATTATCAAATTAAATAAGCCATGTAAAATTTACCGGTTGCATTTCTCCCTGTTTTGTTTGTACTTTAGTGCTCAAAATAAAGATCAGTAGAGGGACTTGCTGTTCACCGAAAATTCAAACCAAATGGATGGTTTTAAAAAAAAAGTCTCACGAGGCTCCCCGGCAACAGCCTGTATTTCACAGTGGTCTTCATGAACGATGGCAGGTTACGGTTTTCTCTTTTTTCTTGAGCCATCTCAATCCCACGATTTAAGGTGCTGAAAATAAAAGCTTTACATTTCCCATCTTTGTTTTTGTTATAACCCTTTCATCTCTATACGTTTAATTCAGTAATCAGATGGGGATAAAGGGTCCTGTGAAAGAATTAAAGACCGATATGCTTTTTGACCAAGTGATATTTTGGCTACAGCGATGCGTCGCTGAAGCTGAACCGAATCAAAGAATGAGTAAAAAGGAGTTTCTAATCTTTTCATCTGACGTTTTTATTGAATGCATCTTGGAGCAACCGAGGGCTCCTTTAAGACCCTGCCAGAGTCACTTAAGGAAATCAGAGTGGGGGGTTTTGGGAGCCTGCAGGGGTTCATTAGGACCAGACTGGTTCAACTTCCTTTTGCCAGGGAGGAAACAGAGAACACAGAAACACAGAGAGCGAGAGAAAAATGAAGAGAGGTAACGACCGGAGAATGAGGGCTAGCACGGGGAGGGAGCGGGGACGGGAGGGGAGCGCAGGGTCAGTGGTGACCAGTCAGAAAAACACGGTGAGAGACAGAAAGAGTGGAAATAGAAACTAGGGAGGAGAGGAGTGCAGCTGGCTGCAAGAAGAAGGTGAGAGACAAAACAGCTGAGGGAGAGCAAAGAAAGCCAGCGAGCGCTGCGATGCCAGCCTCGCCTGTGACAGCTTGACACCACGAATCAAACTAAGAAACGAAGACAAGTAACGAGACGAGCGTCACCAGGATCACTGCCAGTCTGGCTCTTACCTATGGGCTACGGCGCTCTAAAGCCATACTGTTTTCACTGTGGCTGTCACGAGCGCTCTAAATGAACACAGACCTTCTTTTTTTATTTATTTTTTCTTTAGCAATGTTTCGCTTTCTTTGATAAGATAACTGCAGGATGAAGTGGAGCGCCGTCCTCCTCGGCACAGAGAGGATTGTACACTTCATTCTTTTGAGCGAAAGAGTTGCATAGGGTCTCTCTGTTCCTGTTTTCCTCATGGCGCTAGAACACATTCATCACACCCGTACTGATAAATGGCTGCTGTATACAAAATAATAAAAAACACACGCACGCTTACAAGGGCACGTCCGTACAAACACACTTCATATTTGTGAGGCTTTTGTAGCTCACCTGTGATATTTATGGAGTTATTGCCTAAACTAGTTAAAGGGACTCAGGCAGTGACAGCCCAGGGAAGGTTATATGCATATTTACAGACAGCCACAGCTCAGTATCGAGTTTCTGAGGAAATAGCAAGAATAAAAAGCTTCCTGGTATCACAACAGTCACGTTTCTTAGGTCAGTTTGGGTGTAGCTGCTGATCGCTGGAAGGTGCAGATTTACATTTTTTCTCCTTTATTTTATTTTCTATAGCTGCCTCGTGATCCTAATGCGCAGTCTTTCAGCAGTTACGGCCTTTTTTGGGCGGGTTACGCACACACGCTCTGGCTCTCGCAGTTCCTGGGAGTCTAGCAGTGGTGTAAATATTATCTTACATCACTGTTCCCGAATCTGCCACACAGCACTGAGCACCTTTATGTCAGGATTAGTAATGGGTAGTTCAGATGTAGGAGAGAGAAGGAGGGATGGAGTTACAGAGAGCTACCCCCACAACCCTTGAGAGGCTTTGCATGCCGTCTCCAAAGGGGCTTTCAAATTTTGGTGCTCGGGAAAACCTTATGGTTCCAAATAGCTTGATGCTGCACGCCAGCCTTTTTTTCCATCCATCTCTTTTACCGTCCTTTACCCCACATTCCTGATTGGTGGATAGAACGGGATCTGTAATAGACACTAAAACCTGTGATTAGCTCAGTTTTGCTCTGTTACTGAAATCCCGATTTGTGATTGGCTGTTGTCCTGCTTTGATGTGTTCAACTGTATCCAACGGCTTTTTTCCAAAGGAAGACGGGAACTAGAGGAATAGTGTTTGTGATACAAGTACTCACGTTGACTGCAGAGTAAGGCTACTGGGAGAGGTTGAATTTCCAGCTAGACGCCCAGACAGTTGGCTGTGATTTTCATTCATAAAAGCAGATCATTTTGACTTCAGGGTACATAAACATTGTCAATGAATTGAGAAAAAAACCCCCGGAAAATATATTAGTAGGAGGACATTGTCTATTAAGGTGATGTTAACTGTTGCTGTTCATAACCTCTGATTTTGTTGAACTGATTTATAGCAACAAAGTGACAAAATTCCCTTCGCTGCTCAACAAATAAACCCTTATCCCATACGACCACATCACCCAGACATTAAAAAGAAAATGGGCGGTCTAAGACTTTTGGACATTGTTAATAAAAGAGCCGACTTATCTCCAAAATCAAGCCGTATCAAACTCGGCCAGCCTTTCGTTGGGCATCTGTTGCATTGTCATTTGAAGTCAGCTCATAGAAAGACACCATTCCTCTCACGGTTGCCAGTTCATTCACCCTCCCTCTGCACTTCTCTTCCATTTTTTGCAGCCTTTGTTGTCTCACATAATCTCTTTCTCACTGTGGGAACATAACAAAGAGTAAAAAGAATTGATTTGTTGTGTCAGGTATAATAACTGATATTTGAATACCTTGCACTGGTGCTGGAAATTGTTCCGTTAAGAATGGTACATTGCTCTTGAATTTCTCCCCAGATGATACCTGCTTTTGTACCTCGAATCCGAGGTGGCTCTTTCTGTTTCTTGCTGAGCGGAATCTCTCTGAGCGCTCTTGATTGTCCGTGATGGCACTGAGCTGAGCGACGGCAGTTCTCTGATGCTCGCAAAGACGTGCGCGTCGAGGCGTCGGGCTGTTGCGAGCAATCTTAGGATACAGAGTCAGGAACCAGGGTCAGTTATGGGGTGAGCGATTAACCCACACAATCTGTTTGTATGCATTCACTCTGACGCAAATATGCTCTTCTAAATGCACGGGCATACACTCGTCAGAGCCAGAGTGGATTTATGCCCAGGCAAAGGCTAAGAGTTGCAAAGTGTCCGTCAAAGAGAGAAAAAACCCTCAACTTTCATCTCTTTCTCACTACTTCTCTCCTTGTCGGAATAGATCTTTTTTTTCCTTTCTCCAAAGATGCTCTAAACTCACTCCTGTAATTGCGTAGCCTGTCTGTTGGACTGATAAGAAAGGAGAAAAAAGTGATATGAAGCAGAACAAGAAGAGAAAAAAATACTGAGCATCCTTTGAATGTGTCTGTTCTCTCTTACCTGACAGATCAATCGAGCTCCGAGCTTTGGGACAGATCAGAAGATTGATTACGATGTGAAGAAAGGTGTGCTGCTCAATGCCCTCAAACTCCTCAACATCAGGTATTGTTTTCCACCCTGTCTTACACATACACACCCATGCAAATAGATGCAACAAACTGCATCTACGGTTTGCAAATCCTGCCCGCGGCTCTTTTGCCCGTCTCTAGTGGCTCCCTGTGGCTTTCACAAAAATAAGTAGCTGAATATAAATATGGAAGGTAACTATGCTGCTGCTGTAAAAATGTGGAGCCTTTACATTGAATTAAAAAAATGTGTTCCTCTCAGCCAGCCGGTCACCTGCTGCCTTATCCTCTTAGTTTTGCTGGAAATCAGTAGAGGTGTCTGGCATGGATGCACGTAAACACATAAATGTGTAGCCTTAGCTATGCATTCAAAAAGAAATAACAGGAAAACAAAGAATTTAACATGGAAAGATTTGAGTCCTTGCTGCTGGCACGCTCGATCTGAAGCCTATAAGACCACTACATGTTTTATCAACAAACTTCACAATTGCTCTGTTTAGTTGGTGAAGTTTTGTGCGCAGACGCACTCGAAGTTTGTATCAAGCCTTCCTTTAAAGGGCTTTAAATGCTCAGAATTCCAATCGGTGCTTAGGTTTCTTTTATTTATTTATTTATCTTTTAATTTGACAGCCGAGCAAACGTAAAAATTATTTTGACGCACAGTACAATCCGGCCATTATCTTGTTTTGGTTTCAGACTGATGAGACAGTAGTGACATTAGCGTGGACGCAGCAGGAAGTTGAAGCTTTGGACAAATAAATTGCTGTCTTTCTAAATTTGTGTGTTGGTCTTTCTGTGGTGGATAAAAAGACGGATAATGGCCAAGGTACAAAGCCATGCAATACCATCCACTGTGTGCTTTGTGAACCCTTCAATCAGAGATGCTGGGTGTTTGTGAGTTTCTGAATGTGTCTTTTTTGTAACCTGTGCGCTGATCTGTGGTCTGTATATCTACATACGCTTCCTCTGCTGCTCTTTGTTTTGGTTTGTGGGTGTATTTCATTTTTTTAAATGCGCACTGTTTTTATTTTGGAATGTATTTGCCGTATAGGTAGGGTGCGTGTTTGTGTGCACGTGTTTGTGTTTGCTGGCATGCTTTTGTGTCCCCTGGCTACGGAGAGTCTGTCCTGATTGATCATTGTACACCAGACCTCTGCTCTTTATTCCCTCTTTTTTTCTGTGTGCTTGTCCTCCTCTTACTGCTCTAAATATAGTCTCAGCTCTGCTAGTCACACACATATATACAAACAAAGTGCACACACACACACACACACACACACTGGATCAATTACATGCAACATCGTATACATCTAATTTGGCCAAGTGAGGTGCACCGGGCTCACATAAAGACCGGCTCCATCCTCCTGAATGGATTCATGTGGGCCAAACAAATCTCTTCTCAAAGTGATTTGTTACATGGCTGATGTTTAATGTGCTGCCACAGATTAAAAAGGGAGATTTGGTTATTTTATGACAAATAAGTCGTAGGAGGGCTTGAAAGGCACGGGGAAGCTCTTTCCACTGGACATAGCGCTTATGTTCACGCTACAGTGAGTGTGGGGGGGGCTTCGCTCACTTTTTCCTTGTATAGTAATGACTTTGCTTCCCCCAAAGGGAGGAGCTGGTGCTGTGTAGAGGTAGGCTTGGCTCTTGATTCTGCTCACCACATCAACTGTATCAAATGGGATCAATTCAGACCCGGTCGGGCATGGACATTGATAAACCTCAGTCCCCCAAAAGCACTCAATATCCAATTTAAAGGACCAGCGATTGACTAAAATGAATTGCCCTTTCTCTAGACCGCAGTGGCCCACTTGTTCAGAATTAGCTGTCTGGTCCTGTTCATCCCAGAGTTGTTTGTGTCTCAGCTTCATCTCTGTTTTTGTATTGTTGAGTGTTTTGTGGGGGCTTTTTGTCTGTCTTTTTTTTAAACCAGCACAATGATGTGATAAGGCAGATATTCAGGTCAGCTAGGGAGGAGGCCCACAAGCTGTCAGGCTTTATTATGACACTTTTAAAAACCCTTTTCCGTTGATTATGTGTGTGTGTGTGTGTTTTTCCCAGTACTGTCTAGTGTTACAAATAACCATTACATGCAAAGCAAAACTAAACAAAGAGAGCTTTGGTGACAGCAAACATTAAAAGGTGCGATCAGAATGTTTTTGCTCTTAGTTACGTCTTAAATCTGAACCCTTTCCGTGTATGTGCGATGTTAGTTGTCTTGCTTTTTGTTGATCCAGGGCGAGTGATAAGAAACGCAACCTAGCCCAGCAGAAGGCAGAGGCTCAGAGACGGCTGTACGGACACGGATCCATGAAGAAACTCTCGGCCGCTTCCTCGGACTGGGAGAAACAACGTCACACGCTGGAGCGACGAAGAGAAGAGCTGGTGAGGACGAGCAGAACGAAAGAGAAAGCAGGAGGGGAACAGAAATCCATTCATTTAAAACTTTTTTTTAAATTCACAAATACTGGGCTTTATATCCACTCCTTCTTCACACACACTGTCCCACCGCAGGTACAACCACAGTTGTCTAAAGCGCTGGCTGGTATCAAACTGCAGGGCAGCATCTGCGATGCTAAGCACCTGTACAAGGCGGTGCTCCTTAACTGTGGTCGAGGGAGTTGAGAGCGCTACTCATTCATTTCCCCACCCGGACATTCAAAACCGGCCTGGGGATTAGAACAATGACTGCACAGTCTCGAGCGGCGGTCGTAAGTCATGAGATACTTTTAAGCTTTGCAGGCCACACGAAAATGTGCACAAAAAGGTGGTTTGGCTTCAGACAGGCTCACATCAGAGATCTGTGACGTGTCATTACAGACATTTACTTAACACACCGATCAGCTGGCACATCAATATATTTGACATATAAATTATATGTCTCAGCACCCTGCTGTATTATGCACTTGAAACACAAGTCGAAAAGCAGAAACTCAGTTTCAGTTACTTCTTACTTTGTGTCAGAAGACTCAAAAGTTTCTGACACAAGCATACCGTTTAATTATTTTCTCTTTGAAATGAAGTCGGGGGAGCTTTGCTCATGTATATGGGGAAAAGTGGCAGCTACTAGTACTTTAACACCTCCCACCCTCTTTGATTAGCCTTTTGATTAGCCATGGCACTAATCAGTGGGAATGAGGAAAGATGGCGGAAAGGCACCTTTTAGAAAAAGGGCATCGCTTCGTTTTCGAGTGCTGTTATGGCTGAAGTGTGAGACCAGGTTTGGCTCTATGAAAGGCACACGCTGCTTAGAGCTAAATGAGATTGCAGTGCTGGTAGGAAAGTGGTCCCCTCCTTTCGTCTTTATGCCAAATTGGCCAACTGAGCTCCACAATTACACCTTTGTAACATACTAATAAAAGAGTAAATGGACTAAATTATGAGTCATTGATGAGTGAGACTCTTTGTGCTCTTTTCTTTCTTGCAGGAATTCGTTCTGTCTTTGCCTCTAATAGAATATATTGTTTTGTTGGCACTGACTTTCATCTGGAAGAAGTTGTCATTTGTCTCTTTGCTCTTCTCTTACGTTTAGAAAGAGCGGCTGGCACAGGTTCGCAAGCAGATTTCAAGGGAGGAGCATGAAAAGCAACATCTGGGGAACTACAGGTAGGAAAGAGGCAGACAACTGGGGCGAAGAGCCTCTCCCTCCAGGAACACCACCCACTGTACTTGTGCCAGTGCTCTTACATTTATGGGGGTCATCTCGAGAGTGCCAGGCTCTCAGGAAAACAAATAAAGCTGTTGCAGAAAGAACAACCAAAAGCGAATCTATTGTTTGGAGAGAAGAACTGACTGAACGAATGACGAGAATGAAAGCTGTCCAGTGATGTGTAGGAACAAGGATCAAGTTGTTATCCTTCTATGCACAGTGTGCACAACAAAGTTACTTTAGTGTACACCTTTCTTGACAAATGGCAGCCGGCTTTTCCCCACACTTTTATCTCCCCCCGAAATCCAGCAGGGACACTGGAAGACATTAAGCATGTCAATTTTTAATAGTCAGCTCACAGATGGAGCAGATTCACCTTACAGCATGACTCAGCAACACAAAGTTCAGATTTGCTGCTTGTCCCTTATAAATTGTTAATGCTCTTTCCTCCCTCTGTGTCTCTTCCTGCCTTAATCCAACACATACCCCCCCGCCTCGCTTTTCTCTCCCAGTATGTTCCTCATTCACCCACTTACACACAAAAACAAAGACAAACAGTCACAACTGGCTCACACACACAACACACACCCTTCTTGCTGTCTTCCCAACTCTAAGTGACTTCTTGACTCATCACTTGAGTGAATGGCTGGTGAATTTTGAATGCTGATCCAGGCCTGCGTGAAGTGCTGTCACCTCCTTCCTATTTTTCGACAGGCAGTCAGACAGTCAATCAGGCAGGCTGGCGTCTGTCTGGAGCACCCTGGTAAAGACCTCTTAGCATTCAAATAGTGTCCCTGCACAACGCTGAAGTCTGATTAACACAGTGCTTCTCATTAGATGAGTTTGGGTAATGAACTGACTTACATTGTGCTATTAGATGAAACTGTATCAGGTACAGACAATGACCGTGATCCGAGGGAAACCCAGCAGGTATTTGCTCTTCATTTAGGATTCTTTAAAGGGTACAGCTTGTGTTTTATATATACATGTAATATATATATGTGTGCATAGCACAAAGAGGTACGCTTACAGTTGAGAATGCTCATATTAAAATAAAGAATAGAAATAACAGGTCAGCATATGTAAATTAATGTGAAAAAGAAAGTTTCGGAGACAAAAGACTTGTAGACCAACTTCCTTTACACAGACAAAACCAAAGTGGTGATAGCTGGCCCGTCCCTCGGCCTAAACTGGGCAATGCAACAGCGATCCCACCAAATCCACAGCAGACAACCCGATTGAAATGCTGAGCAGACCCTCAATCAGCTGAAGCAACATCATAAAGAAGAGTGGGCCAAAATTCCTCCACAGTGATGTGAGAGAGTGATAAAGTCATACAGAAAACAATTACTTCAACTTATTGCTGCTAAAGTGGTTCTATGAGCTATTGAATCATGGGGTGCATTTAGGTTTTCACTTGCTTTTTTCACATGACTCCACAGTAATCCCCGTGAGCAGACCCTCAGACATCAGACTACTCTAAATGCTCGTTTTTAGACAGGTTTTTTTTGCACTGTCGACTTAATGCGAGTGGATGAAGCCCTGTCTGCCTGCTGTTTGTATCTTTTGCACACTCTGGGATGTGGTTCACACTCCCAGAGTGAACGGGCCCCTTTAAATGTCTGGGGACAGCAAACTTTAAAGACCTGTTGACCAAATCAAATGTTTTTATTCAGTAGAGTTTCAGATGTTAGTTTTTCTTTAACTCCAGTTGAGGACTGAAAGTAAGGCCCAGCAAACGTTTTAGTTAAACAATAGTGAGAGGTCACCCCCACCTAAAACGTCCATTTGCTCAGAGATAGACGCTGCCAAAAAGACTGAGCAGTTAACACCCACTATTAAAGTGCCTCACCTTAAGCTTCTCAGTCGAGTGATTCATGACGCTCTTCAGGATTGAAACGTTCTGGCTCTTTTCATATGTTATGAATCCATTTTCGTTTATGTGACCGTTATAAAAATGTGTCTTGGGAATGAAAAGAACCATTACATGCACCCTAGAAACTGAGAAGTCTCACATATAGTGAATTCAAGGGATGGGATTCAAATGGCAGCTTTATCTCAGGTCTCACAATCAATGTAGTTGTTTGCATAATACTGGGTAACGGCTTTGGTCCAATTAAATAGTTCAGCTTTATGTGGCATTACACAGAAATCTGCTACACATACACGTGTATCTGTGAGTAGCTCAAAGCCTATTAATCAATATTTAAAAAGATCCGGCCTGTCATTGTGCCATGGTAGAACATTTTCCACTGCTGTGTCCTTGCTGTGACTTCATTCATCTCTATAGTTTTCTCTTTTAATCACAGGTCTGTGCTTGTGAGTGTTTTTCTAACCAACTTGAGGGGAGTTTAGCACTTAATATCGTCTGTGCAGACGCCAGACTACATTCATGCTTTTGCAATAACTAAGGCCAGTTCTTATCTTGATTAAAACAATAACCTTGTTTTGACTTAATGGCTAAAGCGATGACATTGGGAGTTTGCAGATGTATTATGAGGGTAACCAGGCATTGTTCTAATCCCCTCAGGCCTTGGATAAACACCGAGCACTGTTATTTTAGTCTTAAGGGCACAAATGTGAATGTGTGAATGGGTGCATTAGCAAAGACTGCAAACACAGCGACGCTCGTGCACACGTCGGTGTACAGCGTGTAGAAAGCTGTTGTATTAATGCACCGAGTGAAAAGATTGACTGATGTTCATGCAGTTTCTTCACTTAAGGTCTCATTAATATTCTTCTGTCTGTGTTTGCTCTTTGCTGCCTCCTTCCTCCTCCTTCACTCTCACCTTTTGTTTGTCTTTCTCTGCACTTGCTGCACCTTGACCTTTCTGTCTCTCCCACCAATTATTGTGCCTCATCTTTATCTTTCTTTCTATCCCTGTTCTTTTTTTATTTTCTTTGTCTCTCTAAATCTCTTTACCCCTTTTCCACTTTTTTTTTTACCCCCACTGACTTCCTAAATATTTCACGGCTTCTCTTTCCACCCCATATCCCTCTTTTCCTTAACCTGAACCACCCTTTTTCTCATTCTTCCACTCCGTCTCTCTCACCTTCTACTTTTATGACCCCATTTGTGACCCATCATTTCCCTTCATTTTCCCCTTTCCTTTGTCCATTGTTCCTCACCTCGTCTTCACTCTCGTCTCCTTTCTCCCTCCTTCTCTGCGGTCCACAGACGTATTTACCCCCCAGACGACAAGCTGCTGTTGGAAAAGTATGAAAGCCTGCTCTCGGCCGCCTTTCAGACCTTCCTCGCCGGGCGAGCTGCCTCACTTCAAAAGGAAATGAATAATCCTCTGAAACGAATGAAGGCACGTACGTCAGTGGCAGACTGTCACGGACTCACACACGCACAAACACACGCACACAAGCAAAGAAAACTGCAGAAACCCACACCCAAACATATTCAGACACTTGTGGACAAGCAAACGTAAAAGAAAAGAAGCACACACACATTTCTATTAAGATTCTGCCCATAGAGACAAAAAGGATGCACAAATAGCGCGAAAGTGTGCCGCAGCCCTTGGTATTTGTTAGAACACCTGAAAATACGTCCTTCTTCTCCTCTCTACCTTTCCACTGTCATTCACCCTTTTCACAAATATTCATTATGTTGTGCACATGAGCTTTTAAAAGCAAACAACAATGTCACTTTTATTACTTTATTTACTTCCTCTTTCTTCTTCTGTGTTTTCCTACGTTTCTTCCTTTCTGCAAAGGTTAACCAAGTTGCTGGCCACACATTTCAATGCATTTTTATGCAGTTTGATTACATATTTATCGCACTTACACACATATATGTGTAGGTATATACACTCAGAAGCTTGTGCGGTCATGCACTGATGAAATTGTAAAAGTCATTGTATGCTTATGAATACCAGCACTCTGCAGTATCAGGAGGAATGCATCTTCAGTTAAGCTTTGAAGGTAAAGGTATGAAGAGAGGACAACAGCTGATCTACAGCCGTGTAACTTCATAAAGATGAGAATGGGAGATGAGCGGAGGATAATATAGTCATAAAGTAAAAAAGATGGTGAGACACTGATAGAGAGTTGTTTTGTTACTATTGTTTTGACTTGACTAGAGTACAAAAAAATGGAGAGAAAGGGGCAATTTTTGGTTTTCATGTCTGGTTATGTATTCAAGAGGAACAAATCAATGGAATGAAAAGACACAGGGGAGGGAACCGTGGGATATTTAAAAACACGGAGCGAAGAAGCAATGATGAGGAGGAATGATGCAGATAGAACAAAAAAGCCTTAACTGCGTTTGGCAACTGAATAGCAGAAGTGAATACTGTGCAGAATGTGGATATTTTTGACAGTAGTATTGACATTACAAGTACATATCAAAGTACTGTCATATGGAGCCATCGGAGCTTTTGTGCAAACTGCCTCAGCAGTTTGCACCCTGTCGCAGTGTTTTTTTTTTTTTCAAAAACTTATTGTGTGTCCTTTAAAGAATGGAAATCTCTGCAGAGCATTTTTAGAGATGTCAATCAAAGACTGGTCAGAGCCGAAACAAAATATAAAGGCAGCGAGTGTTGCTTTTGTGTTTCCTATCTAATAACACGATCATGAGTGACAACTCGACTGTCCTTATTCAGGGACAGAGTGTGAGATACTAATCTGAACCATTTATGGGGAAAAAGATGTTCCTGAACTGCAGTATGATATTCATCAGAGCACAAAAAACACATCTTATGCAAATGTTTTCTTGCCTTATGTTTAAACATTCCCTCTAGTTTTGAGAGAGTCTACGGGTGTTTTCAGGTACCTTTCTAAAAGCAGTGGGGGAGCCAAGCTCTATGTTTAGTCACTACTCTGCCACTTTAATAGGTACATCGCACTAGTAGAGAAGAATTAACACAGAATGGAGAGAATGAAAGTTATCCACAGACGGTCTGAAATGTTATTCTTCTATGCACAGTGTCAACTTTGGACCTATTCAGAAAACTGCATTAGCACGTACACATTTCTTGACAATTGCCAACTGGCTTTCCCCACACTTTCATTATTCCCCCACAGAAATCCAGCTGGGACGCTGGAAAACATAAAGCACGCCAATTTTCAATAGTCAGCTCACAGATGGAGCAGACTCACTGTAAGGCGTGACTCGGCAACACGAAGTTTGCTGCTTGTCCCTTATAAATTGTTACACACTAACCAGCCACTTTAATAGGTACACCTTGTTAGCACCAGGTTGGACCCCTTTGGCCTTCAGAACTGCTTTAATTCATCAAGGTGCTAAAAAAATCCCCAAAGGTTCTGGTCTACCTTGACATGGTTGCGTCACAGTTTTTTTCACATCAGCATCCGTGATTTACGTCGTATGTTTCACCAAATCCCAAAGGTGCTCTGTTGGACTGGGATCTGGTAATCGTGCAGGGCATTTGGATACAGTGAACTCAGTGAAACCAGAATAAGATGTTTTAGAGTTTTGTGCCACGGCACGTTATCCTGTTGGCCATCAGACGATGGATCCACTGTGGTCATGAAGAGATGGACGTGGGCAGAAACAGTGGCTAGGGTGTTTAAACAACACTGTGCTACAGAAATCGTCACGCATCAGAACGTTTGTTATTTGTACAATTTCCTCCGATGATGTTTGTGATCCCGTGCTGTTCTTAGCTGACAGGATGGCACCCGGTGCGGTCTTCTGCTGCTGTGTCCCACCTGCTTCAGGTTTTGATGTGATGTTCAGAGATGCTCTTTTGCATTTCTGAACTTGGTTGTAACCCGTAGTTATCTGAGTTACTGTTGCCTTCCTATCAGATCGAAGCAAACCGGCCATTCTCCTCTGACTTTGCCTTTTTCTGCTTAAATGCACTTAATTGCTGGATATTAACCTTATCAAGCATTTTTACAGGTGTGCTTAACAAAGTAGATGGTGGGTGTATATTTCATAGTTATTGGTCGTATCATTACGATTCAAATGCTAAATTAGTGAGCTTTCTTTTTAGCTCCGTGTGCATGCGTCTGCTGTGTGCTGCTGCCGTAACACATGGCTCTACTAGTTTCCCTCCCTTCCATTTCGGTTCTTTGTTTTATTGTGTGCCCTTTGCAAAACACACCTAGCAGAGCAGCTGAGAGACGAGTGAAAGGAAGATAATGTCATTCGAAGAGATGACAACTTGTTATGTTACTGTAAACAAAAGCTTCCCAACAAGTGTTAAACCAAGCATAACAAAATGAGAAAGAGAGACTGAGAGAAGCCAGAGCTGTTCTGTCATTGTCAGCGGCTGAGACTGTTTGACAGTCTAAATTAAATCAAACAGAATTTAAAGAGAACCGAATAGAAAGTGTGTAAAAATGAAAATACCTCCAGACTGGTTTAAGTTAGATTAGCATTAAAAACTTAATTTATTAGGGAGTTTCATTACTCGTGATGTTGCTTTTTTTCTTTGAGACATCATCCCTTAGCTCTGCTTAGATGGGCACACCATGCGGCCAATCAAATGCAAAGGCAGATTGGGATCATACGGGATAATCATGTGAAAGAAGGAAGGGGGCGTTTCCAAGACAGCAAGTGTTGTGGTACAAAGAGACGGGAGCCGGTCGGGAAAAATGGAAGAAACACGTGAAGATGTAAAATGAGCAGCGTCTGGCTGCATTTCAGTGACTCTGGGTTTCTGTTTAAATGAATCTGAATGTGCGTTTAAAGCCATTTATGATTCTTAACTTGTTGAATCTGCCGCTCACCACACAAGCACAAATTTTGCACTTTTAACTGTTTTTCACAAGTTTCACAGCTTTTCCTACTGATAAAAACCTCCCATATGGCCATTTATACAACACAAAGTAATTAAGCAATAAACAATTAACTTGTTGAACCCCAATGCCCCCAGTACTGGAGGCGAGAGGGAGAACATCTGGAATTACCGCCAGATCTGTTATTTAAATATAGAAGCGTGTGGTTTTCACAGAAACGTCAGAATTTCATCCAAAAGCCCACAAAACCATTTCAACAACCACCAAAAAGCTAAAACAGCAAAAAGAGCATGTAAATACCATCCATCCATCTTCTTCTGCTTATCCGGGGCCGGGTCGGGGGGGCAGCAGCCCCTGCAGAGAAGCCCAGACCTCCCTCTCCCCAGCCACCTCCTCCAGCTTGTCCGGGGGAATACCAAGGCGTTCCCAGGCCAGCCGAGAGATATAATCTCTCCAGCGTGTCCTGGGTCTGCCCCGGGGCCTCCTCCCGGTGGGACGTGCCTGGAGCACCTCACCCAGGCGCCCAGGAGGCATCCTTGTCAGATGCCCGAACCACCTCAGCTGGCTCCTTTCGATGTGGAGCAGCAGCTGCTCTACTCTGAGCTCCTCCCGGATGGCTGAACCTCTCACCCTATCTCTAAGGGAGAGGCCCGCCACCCTTCGGAGGAAGCTCATTTCTGCCGCTTGCAGCCGTGATCTCGTTCTTTTGGTCACTACCCACAGCTCGTGACTGTAGGTGAGGGTAGGGACGTAGATCCACCGGTAAATTGAGACTCGGCTCTCTCTTCACCTCGACGGACCAGTACAGCGTCTGCAGCACCAGTCTGTCTGTCTCCCGCTTCCTTCTGCTGTCACTTGTGAACAAGACCCTGAGATACTTAAACTCCTCCACTTGGGGCAGGAACTTGTCCCTGACCTGGAAAAACAGAAAACGCAGATCCGTCTGTCCACCTGACAGCATGAACACAGACATGCCGCCAGATGCTGAAAGCGTCATCTCACAGATTCTGAAACTGCAGGTTTTTGTCACTTTCTGACCAAAATTCACTGAACCAGCAGCTAAATAGCCCAAAACTACGCTTCGCACATCGTCATGGATTCCCTCTTGCTTTGGCTGCACTTCCTGCACAGCTTGATCTCTGTGTGTTTCTGAGATCCTAATTTCTGCTGTTCAGTACAGAAGAAACTTGAACTTTTACAAATTAGGGCAAATTGCAATACGCTTAGCTATGCCTTTAATAAAACCTTTGCAACTTTGTGAAAAACAGAAAAGTTTCAGTTTTTTTTGAAAAAGATTGTTTTTCCTTTTCTGCTGTAGAAATTTCTACAGTTAAAACTAAAAACCCTGGACAGTCTGGGCATTGAGCTACCAGAACCTATTCTGTCATTTTACTCATTTGTTTCTTACAATTTCAGTCCAAAGAGTCGAGCTGAGAGATTTCTTTCTTTGTCACAGCAGCTTTTTCTTTATCATGTAGAAAAACAATTAAACATGTAACTTGTAACTGACAGAAAGTCAGAGTTTCACTGGCCTCGCCCACTTAGGGTCAAAGTGGGCTGTATGTGGCCCGCGATGTAAAGCTTGACACACCTGCTCTACTTGTTTTCATAGCTGACAGTATACATTTCTGTGCCTTTTTTAACCATATTCACTCTTAGTGTACCCATGAGTTAAGCACCTCTGGCCCAGATTAACCACGCTAAAACTTCTTTAACTGAAAGTTTACAATTGTGAGTACAGAGACATGTCCATAATTGTTTGGACAAAGGCACAATTTTTGTATTTTTGCCTCCACAGCGTGGCGTACACCACCAAGAGTGGAATTTAAATCAAGCAATCAACATTTCATTGAAGTGAAGACTTTTAGCTTTAATTCAGCAGATTTTACAAACGTCCATTCATCTACGATTATTACAGACATTTTTATATGCAATACTGTAGTCTCAAAGACTCAAATTTAATTGGAAAATGGACTGACAATCAGGTTCATAGCCAGGTAAGGCCTGCTCCCTGACGCGTTCTTAAATGCAATGAATGCATTGATCAGCTCAGCAACACCCACAGATCACAGAGAACAGCTGAAGTGCATGATGACAGAATTATTTCAATGATTAGGAAAAAAACAACATATAACAAAGTCAAGAATGTTCTTAAGGACCTACACGTTTCACTGCCAGAGTCTATGACCATCAGTGACAACAGAGGTTTATAAGTGCAAACCACTAGTTACACACAAGAAAAGAGGCTGTACACGGCCTGTGAGATAAAACCAACGTGAACCAGAATGATGACTGCAGAGGATTAGCATTAGTACAAGTATTAAAAACAATCCTTGTAATTAATTTCTGTCAGTTTTGCCAGTAAATTTAGTTAATAACGAGACTGTGTATTAACATGTGTCAAACTCACTGAAATGAATCCAGAAAGCCTGCACTCCAGTGACACGATGATTATTTGATTTAAAATCCACTGTGATGATGTAGAGTGGTAAAACCACAAAAAGATTGTGTCGTTGGCCAACAAATTATTGACCAAATTTAAATCTAATTTAAATCTACTCATCTTAAGCTTTACTTGAAACAAAACCATTATTATTGGTAACATAACTAATATCTCGTGTTTTGCATGTTTATGAATTCATCATCTGGCAAGCACTGCCTGCTACCTCAGGCATTTTTTTATTTAAAATAAGCCAGAGGTTATTTGCCAGCATGCCATTTATCATGTTTGACAGACGCTGTACCTGCAAGACTCACGTTTGCTGCCTTTGAGGGCTTCTTGGGGCCACGAATTGAAAAATGTCATGGATTGTCACACGATCAAAGGAAAGTAAAACCTGCATTGTAAACATGCTGATTGACTGTAGAGCACCCTCCTGACTTGGACCACTGTGCTACAGACAGCCCAGCCACAGGTTGCACTGGTTTCCACTGGGTTCGGCTCACCTTTATTCCTTTTCTGATTACAGTTAGGTGGAACAGGTATGAGTCGGGCTGTTAGTCCTCTCGTCTAGCTTAGCTACCAGTGTTTCCCTGTGCGCTCAGGTGACGTCTTCCTAATCCTGCAACTGTTTCACTTGGATACTGACTGGAAAAAAAGGATGTAAAGCAGATGCACGCTCAGTTTGCCTGAGGAGCTCTGCCAATGAAACAGAACAGCACAAGTATACAAACTGCACAAGATGTCTCCAAGCACTTTAGAGCAATTGCAGAGCCCATGAAAGCGGTAAGGGGTGCAAATATATGAAATGAATACAAGAATGGTAAGAACATGTAAGTCTCGCTGTATCTAATATTTAAAAGCAAATTGCAGTGTTAAAAAGGGGAAAAAGGTTTGTCCTAAAGACCTCTGCGTTACACAATTTGTTGTCCAGTGACATAAAAAGTACTGTGTTTGTAAAATACAGTTTATTATCCTACATGGATCCGACATGGACAGAGACCATTGGTAGTGCAGTACTATAACATGCAGCTTATGTAACATGCACACAGGCACACGGCTGAAAATGTTTATTTTGGGAGTAAAGTAGGAACAAAAAGCTGAGTAGTGACAGTGTAGCAGGTCGCAGCCTAAATTTCACGTACGCTCAGTTTTATAAACTCTTAACAAAAGTACTTAAGAAAAGCTAAATAGCTCTCAGCTTCTCTTAAATTCTGTATATGCGTCAGATTTGGTTTTCCCACGTACTGTAAAGCATTTGAAAGCATCCATGTAATCTGCTTTGGTGAAATTTAACAAGGTAATGGTCCTTCAGTGATTTTAAAACTACTGTGGGTGGGGAAGCGCTCACCTCGTGAAAGGAGGCGAGCATTGAGTTGGCATGCTCTTTACTGCATAGAAATGGCTGCAAGTTGTAAATGAATTTATCAGAGCAATGCACAGTAAAGCCACAATATAAACATAGTGTTTCAACATTCACTGCAATAGACGTCGCGCAACACTGAATGTTGTTATCATGAAAAACTTAAATACAGCTTAAAATGATGGCGTTGACTCAGACTGTGTTCATACAGCATATTCATCTCAGTCTGTCTTTTTTCAGTCACTCTAATGATGAAAGAGCAAATGCAGCAGGCTGGGGAGAAAGCCGTGCACTCGGCGTCATTTTCAGAGCACTCTGACGTTTTTTGCAGACGCTTCGGGACCTTCTAGTTGAGAACTTCAGAACTTTTCAGAAAGGCACTGGCGTTCTCACTTCTGCTGCCTTTCAGGAAGCGTGTCATACAGTACTAGTCACCCCGAGAAGTTTGTCCCTGCTGTGTCCATTTTATGCTTCGATAATAAAACGCAAAGGAGTGATGCTTTTCTGTCACATGACAATGCATGGAGCGGCGATATATTGTCAGGATATTGTTGTCATGGAAACAAAACCCACACACGGTGACGGGGTGCTTTGTTTGATGGAGCTCCTCAGCGTCCTGCCTGTTTTCTGCCACAGAAAATATATGGACACAAGCCCTAAATAACTCAGCAGTTACCTGTTAGCTCTCCTTTTTCTTTTACTGGGCTTCTTAAATTACGAGGCTTTGATGAAGAATTGTAAATCCGCACGTGGCTCTGTCTCAGCTGTCTGAGCAGCTTTTATAACTGCACAGTGACAATTCGCCAAAACAACCGAACCGAAAAGCCGCGTGGCATTCAGAAAAAAGCGAAAACTTACAAACTGTATGAACCCAGTGATGCATACCTTTACCATAAAGTGCAAAGTCTTCCAGACAGTGAAGTATGCCACTGTAAATGTTCACACACTCACCAACACTGTGAGCCAGGGGCACACTGACCTTTTCACAAACCCCGAAAGCAGCTTGATGGCTTATCTGAGAGAAAACAATCACTTTTCATCTGCATTTGAGCAGCAAGTGGGAGCTTGTTATGTCGCAGCCATGAAGCAACATTAATCACCTTTGCCTGCATTTCAGCAATAGCCAAATGGCCAAGGCTTCAGTGTACTGGCGACCGCCATGACGCTGCCTTCACGAGCGCTGCCAGCGAGCAGTGCGTGCTCAGCCGGGGCCTCGCTTCTAACCCTCGCTCCCAGATAAGGCTCGCATGGCTCTGAAGTTAAACTTTTTCATCTCTTCTTCTTTTTTGATGATTTAAGTTTGCTTAAAAACACTTTTGACTTCAAAGCAATAAAGTGTGAAATATCAAAGCATTCCTATTAAACTTCATCAGTGCCTCCTCGAGGTTTTAACTACCCCGTTAAGCTCTGTTTACCGAAATCAGCACCTTTGCCATATTCTCATCTCGTGTTTTCTTTGTGTAGGAAGAGGACATCCTGGATCTGCTGGAACAGTGCGAGTTGGACGACGAGAAGCTGATGGGCAAATCCTCCAGGCAAAGAGGCCCTAAGGTGGGTGAGAGAGAGAAGACACATAAGCTAGGAGAGAATAGGGAGAATAGGGGCCACATGCATCAGAGGCCCTTAAAAAAATGTGCAAAGAAGAGTGACAGAGGCAGAAAGAGGGAGGGAAGAGGGTGGCAGGTAGTCAAATGCCTAGAGCTAACGCCCACGGAAAGCACATAGGACGTGATTCAGAAAAATAAAGAGGAGGGGGTCTTGGGTTAGGAAGAAAAGAAAAGAATCAGATAGAGGCCCAAAGAAAAGACCCAACTCCCTTAGGGGAGAGCTGTCAGGCTGTCTCTCTCACTCTCTCCCTGCTATCTTTCTTTCTGTCTATCTCCCCCTTTTTCCTCTTTCTCTCTGTCACATGCACCTATACGCCCCCTCGATTTCCCACGACAGCACATTACTCCCTCCATCACCTTGCTTCACTCTCCTCCCTTCACCTCTCCATCCCTTTCTCTTCCTGCACATCTACATCCATCCCTCATTCGAGAGCTAAATTGGCTGGAACACTTAGAGCGTGTTAGGGACTCGACAGGGCAGTTCAGCGCCACATTAGAGAGGCCTTAGCTGGAATGAGGACTTGTTCAGACACAATCGCTGTTGTCCAAATTAATTTGGGCCCCGTCAATTTCGATGTTAGCGAGCGTGCGGAGAGAGACATCGAGAGGAAGGGAAAGAAAACGCTGTGACGGATAGATTCGCTCCTTGGGGTGTAGCGCTCTCGAGCCATCTGGTGAAACTGAACCGACGAGTGTGCGAAAGCCAGAAAAGAGGAGCGAGGCAGAGGGATTAGGAACAGGATTTCTGAGGGAAGGAAACAAAGCTAGGTTTGTTATTGCTGGGGAAAAATGTTCAGGCGGAGAGAGAACAAAAGGTGGAGAAGAAGAGAAGCGGGAAGGCACAAAGAAAGCGAGCAAGTGTCCTCGGGTTTTCGTCCCCTTTTTCCTCTTATTGACTTTCTTTGCTCTTTCTTACTCCCAACTCTGCTAATTTTGACATATAGCTCATCACAGTTGGCTCTTATCGTGTCACCATCTCTCCTCAGCTCATCACTTGATTTTACCCAGTCACTCCCACGAGCTTCCTCTCTTTACACATTTTCTCTCTCATCTCATCCTTTCAGGGCTCTCCCTTTGTCTTTACCCTCCACTGTTTATTCACCGTCTGTCCTCGCATCCTTTTCTCTCTGTCCTCTTGTATGTCAAGAGCCCCTTTCTCTCCATGTTCATTTCCGTTTCTCTCCATCTATTCAGTGCCTCCTCTCTGTATCTGCCATACTCAGATTCACCTTGTCCTCCTCTTTATTTCTCAGCCCATCAATCTGATGTTCCCATCTTCCCTTTTATTCTCCTCTCATGTATTTAATCTCTCTCTGTCTCTATCCTCCATCACTCACCCACACAACTACCCAGCAGTGGCTGTGTAAGCCCTGATCACTTCCTGCCCATTAATTTGGGTGGGCTGACAGCATTGCCCGGGCTGACTGTTGAATAACAGATGTGTAAATGCTTTATTAATGCTTTCAGTGTGTCCTTTTCCACACACTAAATTTAATAAACTCAAAAAGTAAAACAAACCAAAGCAACAAAAGAAAGCTTGCGTCTGTGAAGCATCACAGCTGAACGTTTAAGAGCAAGGTGAAAATACTTACAGAAGCAGATATTACAGCAGCAAGTTGGTGTCAAAGGCGCTCTTAAAAGTTTCCAGAGCTCTCGCTTTTTCATTTGCACAAACAAATTTATTAAACTAGTTAAAGAAAAAAAAATTACAGCATTTACAAAAAGCTGCTTCACTTTAAACTCGACCTTTACGTGTCTAATCAGGCCACATTTGTTCTGCGCGTGAAGCCAGCCATGTTCCTTTTTATAGGGACAGCTTAGAAAGCAGCGAAGGTGTGCGATTGTGTATTTGTGCATAATGAGGCTGCAATTACGTGCACACGTGTGGGCATGCGGGCCGGCCGTGTCACCGGCAGGTCTCCCAGTGACAGATGGTAATGAGCTTTGGGTGAGGCGAGGCTGACAACGTCTCAACATCTTCATATTTATGTGTGTGTGTTTGCGCGTGTGTCTCGTTGCACTTTTGTCCTTGTGAGCTTCTGGTGGAGGCGCAGACCTTTGGAAGGAGGACGCTTTCCCAAAATGAGGTCATTTTGGATGGTTTGGTTTTAAAAAGCAAATAAATTCAGTGCAGCGTCCCAGGAGGATAAAAGCAAAAAAAGATGTTTATGTGTGCAAGAGTGTGTATCCATGTGTGAACTGTCTTTTCTTTTTTTCCTGTATAATTATGAATGCATGTATACTACTCTACTCTATAGTATGAGTGTAAATACGTCCTGTATCTGTGTACTCTTGCCAGCCCCTGACCGGCATGCCAGAATGCAGTCAGACTCCAAGACGTCAGCGACCAGACTACCTGGCCGACTTCACCAGCGGCAGCAGCGCCGATAACTCCTGCTCCTCTTCAGACGAGGAAGAGGAGGAGGAGAGGAGGAAGGCGGGAGGAAGAAGAAGTGGAGAGAAGCGAGGGGAAAAGAAAGTTTCCTACGACCTTGGCGAGAGCAAGGAGAAGAACTTGGCTGAGCGCTCAGGTAGAGGAGCAGGGTGTCTAAGAGCGTGTTTAATACAGAAAGCAGCCATCCATCCGCTCGTCCTTATCGTGGTCATAGGTCACCAGGGCTAACACACAGAGACAGACGACCATTTGCACTCACATTCACCTCTATGGGCAGTTTAGAATCATCACTTGACCTAACCCCCACTAACTGCATGTGTTTGGAGGAAGCCGAGTACCTGGAGAGAACATGCAAACGCCACAGAAAGGGAGCTGTTATCTGTCCTTGTTTACTTTCTTCTGCGCTCGCTTCCCCTTTTCTCAGTCGTCTCTTTTCTTTCTGCCGTTTGTTTATTTCTTCCTCTTTCAGCTGAAGCCGTCTGATTACGAGCATTACCCTAATTGCTAAAACAACCTTGTTTTTCAGATTTGTGAATGTGAACAGTCGCACGCCTACATATTTGCACATTTTTAATATTTTGTGTTTGAATTTCAGCTCTGTCAGGATTTACTTTACATCTCAGTCTCTGTCATAGTCAGACTGGAATCATACAGTGGGACTAATGTATAATGTATAACAAAGCTGACATGTATGTCCTGACCTTTGCACTTAGAATTTCAGGACATACGATACGCAGCCTGCAAAGAGAGATTAACTGATTAGCGAGCTATATTGAGCTTTAAGACAGATTTCAGAGAGGTGGCTCTCTTTTTACCTCGTAGATCACCATAGTAACTGATACTGAAAGCATCACCTGGTCCAGAGAAGATTCTGTTCAGAGTTTCAGTTCAAAATCACCTTTTCACTGGCTGTTTCTTTTAAACTATATGAATATGTTTTTTATTATATATGCAACCTGTTGAGCCGTAGCTCCACCAGTTGAAACTGTGCAGTGAGAAAACTGTGCTTTACATTGGTTATACTGTCCTGTACATTCATTCAGTCACAGAAATGTTTGCATAATGCATGAATGTTTTTATGCTTGGCTCTTTCATAGTGTCCCCATAACAACTAATAGAGCACTGATTAGGAAAGAACCTACAAAGCCTGCTAATGTATCTTTGATCAGATACATTTGTAGGTTTTTTATCTGTACAATCAGTGAAATGGATTTCACTAAAGTGATTTTAGCGTCTTCTTTATTAGGCCACAGGAGAGTGTCAGAGCTAAACAAAGCGAGTAAGCTTTAATGTTTAAATGGATGCACTTTAAAGTTGCAGGGCTCTAATGTGCAGCTGTCGCATTAGGAATGCATCGAGAGCACACAGAGCTCTAAAATAAATATATTAACTCAAGTTGGTATATTTATTTTACCGCTCTTGGTGCTCCTGTGATGATCGCGATTTCAAAAGAAGTGAATTTCTGCAGCGTTACTCTCTAATCTTATTTGCAGCAACAGTTATGTTCTGCTCTAACATCCATTCCTCTCATAATTTCTCGGATTGGGGTGAGGACTTTGCAAGAGAAGAGTCGAGTGACGCGTTAATCTCGCCCTTTTATGTGAGCGCACAAATTTAACAAAGAAAGTTTTTTAAAAGCGGTGACTGGGATTTTAGGTTTTGTGAAGCCAGCTAACCCAAGGAAAGCCTGGTTAGGTTGAACTTGCTTCGCAGTGCACCCACTGGTGTATCTTTCAAATTTATCAACATGTGAAAAAGCACGTTTAGACTTGCAAATTCCCATTTCCAGTTACACGGACACACACAAATGCCGAGAACTGCTGGTTTGATTAGCATCTGTGGTGCACGCTCTTCAATAACAAAGCAGGTCAGGTTTGGTGGTTTGAGTTGGCAAGTGCTGCGAACAGGTGTTCATCAGCCTTCTCGTCGTCTAATTAAAGCCTAAGCAGAGTGACCGTGGCCTGTGACTTGACGAACGTGGATCTTTGTTGCCGAGCTGCTCACACTAAAGACGTCTCACAATCGTGGACCTACACATACACAAATGCTGCAGCGCTGAAAAGCACTTGAGGGAAGAAAAGTGTCCTGACCAGTGCAGTTCCAGTGAATAGAAGGTGAAAGCAGAGGCAGAGATGAAGAGAAGGAGGAATTTTTATAGAAAGAGAAAAAGGACTTTGTTGTGCACCTTGAAAACACCTTGAGTTTAATGCTGAAATAGTCTATTTTATAGTTAGAGTGATAAGTCTCAAGCATTCCCTCAATTTCACATAAGTCGCATACATCAACTCACTTTCAGCCCTCAGAAGTGAGAAAGGGAGCAGCTTTCACTGCAGCCTATGTGGCGACCTTGGAAGGAAAGAAAGAAAAAAAAATCCCTGGTTGCATTATGGGTTGCCAGTCCAGAAAAAAAGAGGACCCTTGCATGAGCTCATTCTAGATGTTACAAAGTAAAGGACAAAGCCATGAAAAAGCCCAACTTTTGGACAAAGCGTCTACGGATGTGTGTGTGTGCATGTGTGTGCAGAGAGCGACGGCAACCTTGCCAAGCCCTACTCCATACCAAGCCACCAAAGGACTGCTACGGCTAAGCCACATAATGCTCTCATTTGGCAATGGCCGATCCTCAGAAGGGTTAGCGGCGACATGGACACACGCAAACACACCCATACTTGTGTGCACACTTGATGTCAGACACACACACAGTGCACCAGCAGAAAGCACACACTAATACACTGGCTAGTGGACAAACTGGAAGAGTTTCAAGGGTGATAGAAAGTGTCACTGTGGGTTTTCTACTTCATTTTCCATCTGTGTACATGTGTTCATCTCTAATGTGTGTGTGTGTGTGTGTGTGTGAGACAGACAGAGGCATGCTCTTTAATCCATCCCCAAACCAGACAGGACTAATGTTTAGTTTCTGGTTTTGGCTACACATGCTGCGGTTGTTAATAACACACACAGTGGATCACTGGGCCAGTGTGCCAGAGTGCAGCTGTGGGAGTTTTAATGCCACACTTCATCTCCAAAGCCACCCGGAGACAGATAGAAACCAGAGGAGAGAGCCTGACAGTGACGGCGGCACTGAGACAGGCTGAAGAGAAGAAACCGAAGTGTGACAGCGAGTCAGTGAGCTCCTCCCCCACTACTCTTTCCGTCTCTTCTGTTTCTCTACAGGCCGCATGCACTGGAAACCTCCAATCAAGTCGCTCAAAACGAGCACTGCCCCGTCCGCGTCACCGTCGCTTTCTGGGCCAATCCGGCGCTCCATCTCGTGCCCTCGTTCCATCGCCTCCCTGTCGTCGCCAAATGAAGTGCGGGCGTTGTCCACCAGGCCTTCCCCTACGGTTCCCGTGGCCACACCCCTCGTCAGGCCGAGCTCCGCCACGCTCCGCTCGCATTCGCTGAGCCGCAGCGGCTCCGCTCACCGGGTGCCTCACAGCAACAGCCTGGGGACCATCCACTCCAATATAGTAAGATACTCAACGCACACACACAAAGTAGGGTTAGACTTCAGAATATGTCGCGAGAAATGTTCTAAAATGCTCCAGCTAGGATTAAAATAAACAATCGAGAATTACTGCACAGCTTTATCACTAAAGATGGAGGTGCGTATTCCATCATATCGTTACCCTTTTCACCCTTTCTGACATATTGTGCCCAGACCCGCTTAGTATCGTTTAAACAGTCCGGTCAATACTGTATAGGCCCGCTGGAGCCCACAACAATAACCTTCTATTATGTTGCCATCTGTTGCTTTCCACCTGTCTCCTCCATTCCCCTTCCTTTTTTAAAGTGCCCTGGTAACCTTTGGATGCAGTGGAATCAAATAAAATAGAGCCGAATGAGTTTTGGCATTGAGAGCAGAACAAAGTGGAAAGCCTTCATCCTGAAAGAGGCCATAGTAAGCACCACAACACGTAATGTCCTTCCACGTGAATACGAAATGACATGAGATCCACTAATTTCACCCAGTTTTTCGCCATCTTGCACACTCGAGCTTCAACTGCACAGGAAACTAAATATAGGTTTAGCAGTGAATACGCTGCTGTAGCATAATGAGCTGTATTTCACTGAGCTTATTTTGAACGTTACGGAAACTCAGGCGGGAGCAAAATTTATTGGTGAAACTGGCAGCACATAAATCTCAAGCTAAATTTACTGTGATAAATAGAAATAAATAATAACTGATAATATATTTATAACACATATATAAAATGTGAGCAGTATAAATACATTAGTCATTATGTATAAATGCTAAAAACATAATATTCAAGTGCAACTCCGAAGAACTCAAAATGTGATAATAAAACAAAAATAGAATTTTCTCGTCACGTTCAAGAACATAATACCATTAAGTAATGAGTAATTATAACAGAAATAATCTGGTAATGCCCCCGATTTTTTAGGCCTAATAAACACATCCGATTACACAATATTATTAATTAAAAGCTGGTTTTTTTTGTCGAGTTTTAATGCTTTGCCTTTACGTGTCTGCAGGGCGATCCGTTGATAAATCTGAGGAGTAAAGAGCAGGAGGCAGAGCTGGTGCGTCAGACCCTGGCAGTGCTCACCGCCATGAGGATTAGGTTTCCGGGCAAAACTGAAGAGGAGGCCGAGGGTGTGCTGGACGAGGTGAGTCAAGGATCGCCATTGTGCAAAATGTGAAAATAATTCACAAAATAATCAAAAGGTTATTTTTGCGTGTAAGAAAAATAAAGTGGAAGACAACACGGAGTAGTGTTGAGCGGGAGTCCAGACTCGCGGTATTCCCAGAGCCCCTCTGTGACCAGGTGCGGTCACTGTGCAACTAAAAGTGAGGCTGCACTTCCCTCACAATAGCCTGTCTGCTCTGGCTCGGTTCCCATTGTCTTTCAAACGACCCCAGCAGCAACCTGTCGAACAGTTTACCGCCCCGCGCTGTTCCCCACTGCCCCTTTGTATCAATCAGTTCCTCCTCTGCTTCTGGTCAGGCCTGGACATCCCGGTGTGTTCGTGTTTTCACAGGTGTGATTGTGCTACAAATTATTACTCAAATTAATGTAAAGAAATTGGCTCATGAAGCTAAACCTAGGAGTTAGGAACTTAAAATAGTGCTCAATGAAGGATACTTTTGTTTTCTTTAAATCAATCAGCATCTGTGTGCAGGTAGCTAAAGATTGAGATTAATACACACATTTTCCAAATGATAGTAACAATAATAATAGTTTCTCAAACAGAGTTACACAAGCCAGGTAATAAAATGCAAACCATGCAAAGCTCGAGGATAAAACTTACAAATATATCAACGTAACCACATTCTTAAAATGCAATAAAGTAACAATGACAGAAGCAGATGTAGTGTTGGTCTGGATCCGAGCAAGGCCTACGTTAAAAAAAAACAAAAAATAGGCCATCATGTGAGAGGTCAGACAGGCACTTTATTAAATGTTAGAAGTTAAATGCTCATTATGTTTAGGTAAGTCATGTAAAAATGGACAAACAAGTGACAATTCTTGAAAAATTAACAGCTTTTTTTTGTTGTTAGGGCGAGCCAGCAGCACCTTATTAGTGGCCTCACACAAACACCTTAAAGCAAAATGTGTGCGTGTGTGTCTGTGTGGGTAACATCTGGGTGTGTCAGGGTTGTGGGAGACAATTACCGCCACACCTGTACTGTTAACGAACCCTAATGAGAGCGCCGTGGAAACGCAGACGAACAGCTGCACCTGTACTGTTGACTCTTTGCCTCAGGAGAAAACGAGTGTTCACTTGGCATGAAAACAATCTTTGGCGTTTTTTGCTTTCCGTGATTTAAACTTGGGTCTAATTGGGCTAATGATGTGTTTGTATCCGTGTAATTGGCTCCTTTATCTTTCATTCAGAACCGTCTCTTTTGCCGTCGTTGGAACCAATAAAAAGATGAAATTGAGGGTAATTTGTGCCTGTACAAAACACATTGTGACAAATGAGCACGCAGCTTACCAGACAAAAAAAGACCCAAAACGTAAGAAGCGTTAGATGTGCTGCGGTAACCAATTTCTCACCTTGTTTGTTGGGTTCTTACTGAGAGAGAAAACTAAACAAGTAAACAAGCAACTTTCTAGAATGTGAACAAATTATTTGCTGCATTGGTTTGTCTGTGTACGGGTGTGTACATGTGTTACTCGTGTAGGGGGTGGGGGGCAATAGATGTTTATACTGTCACACTGTGGGGACTCGTCTCTCTTTTGGGGATAAAAATGCAAATTGTCCAAGTTTAACTGCAGACTTGGTTTAATGTTAGGGTGACAGGGGCGGGCAAGAGGTAATAGACGGGGTAAATGTAAAGGAAAGTCAACGTAATGTCCTCTGAAATGATGGAAACCCAACTCTGAGCGTGAGTGTGTGTGTGTGTGTGTGTGTGTACACATAAAGTTTGCGCTGCAGCTTCCCGATGGGAGCAGTGTTTGCAGGGGATCTAGCACGATACGTGTGAGGTATGTGCACCAGTGGGGAGATGTAGACTGTGTCAACATGACAACAATAACAGTGCCTTTAGTCACACAGTAATGCTGGCAGTGGGAGCTTGTGCATTGCAATATCCAGGACAGCTTTTGAGCATAACAACACATCCAGGGTTTTTGACTCACAGGGTCATAACCTGTAAAAAATCTATTATCATTATAACTCTTTTGTGCTACATGTAAATGATATATTTTATGTGCATTTTTCTTATTTACAGCTTTTCTGAGATACTCTCTCAGTTTTAAAGTACTGTAAAAGTGCAGGTTTAACTGTTCTCTGGCACAGCACTCTTTAACTTGGCAGTGATAAGTTGTTGTACAGTATCTTAATGAGGACAGGGAATCTCTACAGAATAAGTTTGACCAAGACCCGCCTGCCCTGGAGTCAAAAAGGTGCATCTGTTTCCCCCTGGAGGTGTATTCCTGGCCTCGTATGCTTTCTTATTGTGACTGAACTGCACAGCACAGTAACTGCCCTTTAACACACGGTAATAACCCCGAGGTATGATGGACTGCTACTGGGAGACAGCAGTAGCAATGTAGTCTGTTTTGGTTTGTTTTTTGTTGGAACGATGCAGAGGCTGTTATTAATAATTGCACTTCTCTGCAGGTAATCTGTAGCAGGTTTTAAGGTTACCTTTCAGTTGTTAACTCCTACTTTTCTTCCACAGATTCTGGATAACTGGAAATATCATAAACCAAAGGTCGCCTCCTACTGGCTGGTGAAGCTGGACTCAACCAAACAGCGGAAGGTGAGTGTTAGAGCCAGATGTGAAATGGCATGTGAGAGCAAGCAAAGGTTGTGCTGTTTCCTAAACCCAGGCCCAGTTTGTTCGTGTCAGTAAAAAGAAAAAGATGTGCTTTTTTTCCCGGCGTTAAAAATAGGTGCAACTACCAGTAAAAGTAAAGGTTACTAAATCAGTTTGTGCGCTTACATATTTTGCACCTTGAGAAAGGAACTCCCAGAAATACATGTACGAAAAAGTCGCAAATGGGCTTTTTTACACCAAACCTCTTAATCTGTGCAGACGTCCACATTTCAGGAGATCTGAGCGAGGTCACCTGACTCGTCATTCATAGAACAGTTTGGCTCCAGGTCTGTATCAGCTCCCGTTGTTTTGTTTCAAATTGTCACTTTCTGGTGGATTTAGGGCCAACTGAGTATCACTGCTTTTGGGAGCAGACAAGAAGGCAATCCCAGCAAACAAGAGACGGTTGCAAAAGAGAGGTTATAAAAAATAAAGTTGTAGCTTTTTTTTCCATCTGCAAAGACAGATGGAAATGTGGACTTTTGAATTCCAGAGAGTAACGTCCCAAAACCTGATCTTTGTCTAGTTATTAGAACTTTTTAAAAATACTCGTCAAAATACGAATCAGTACCTCACACACTGTTGTCAGAGGCGTTACGCTTGGATATGTTAATCCTGGAAGTGTAAAACAAAAAGACCCCCGTTTTTCTTTTGCCACCTGCATAAATTGCCTGCCCTTGCCGGCGCCGGGTCTGCGCTGTCACCTTCTACAGAATGGACGTTGTTAAAACCGGCGAATGTGACAAAGATGTCACCTCTCCTACCTGTTTCTCTGAAAGCTTTTGTACAACTTTTAAAGCACGAAAAATAACCTCGAAATCAAACTTCAGAGAGCGAGAGAAAAAAATAAGACGAGCATGAAGATCATTACCATGTCAGACAGTGAGAGGCAGACACACCAAATAGGATGTAAACAAAACACAAGAGGGGACAAGACATGTAATGGCATCCAGTAGGCGTGTCAGTAATGATGTGATCTCTCAGCCAGTGCTTTCTGCACAACTGCGCTTGGCCGTGTTGTGGGCTGCGGTGGTGCGAGCTGATGTTTTATTTGGAGTGGAGCAGCCTAATGAGCAGCAGGCAGAGGTCAGGAACATAGCGCCCACCGCTCTGCTATCTGATTACCATACCAAAACATATCTGTGTGTGTTTACTCATCTATCAGTTTGGCTGAGTGTGTATGCATGTCTCACTCGCCTCATATTGCTGTTGGGAAATCTGCCTCTTCGCATCCCAAACACACATGCACACACACACCGTCCGATGGGCACTTCAGTAATGAGGAGCGAGGAATCAAAGTCAAAAGAGCCACAGTGCTGCACTCTGAGCGGGGTGAAAAGAGAAAGAAAAGGAAGGAAGAGAAGTCAGCGAGGTGGGGAGGGATGGGAAAACGAAGAAGGGATGACGGAAGGCTGGCGCAGGTGTCCTTAGACCGCCCGGGAACTTCTGACACCTTATCTCCAAGACTGACGTTGGTGCAGCAATTAGTCCTCTGCCGTGCTCTCCACTGTCTGCCCCGGCACTTTGTGTCCTGCCTGTAGAAGAGCCTTAAAAGCACACAAATGAGAAATAGGCTGCATGTCTCTGCATGCAGTCTTGCACGAGTCCACAGGCCTGAATCCGGAGATAAACCCGCTCAAATCATTTTTATCTTTCTTTATGCACATTATGTGTATATATGCGATTGCAAGTTTGCTCTCTGTGTTGGCCTCCGTCATTGCTGATTTTAAGGTGAGATTAAAAAACGAAGGAGAAAAGAAATGACAGGTGTAGCATTACTTTTCCCTCATGTTCCCATTCAAGCCTGAGCCTCTCTGTCCTTTTCATCCCCAACTCCCGCTCACTCTCTCCATCACTCAGGTGCTGGACATTGTACGTACCAATGTGCGCTCAGTGCTGCAGCGGATCTGGAAGGAGCCGGACGTGGAGAGCCTTCACCTCTACCGGCTTTTTAATCGCGTCTTCAACAGGCTGCTGTGGAGCCACGGCCAGGGCATGTGGAACTGCTTCTCCAACACCGGGTAGGTCCAGTCGGAGCCAGGTGATGGACTGGGTTCGGCCACAGCTGTGCGGCCACAGTTGTTGCAACTGTGTGCAGTCAACTGGTCTCTGAAATTGCTTCAAAGATGGGAGCAGTTCTGGGACCAGTCGCAGTCATCAAACTGACTTTGATGCATTGAGCTGTTTGAGTAAACAGAGTCAAGTTGGCATTTCTGTGTAATGTGTTTGCGATAATGCCACAATTAACTGTGATACACCTATTGCAAAACAGACAGACACGGCTTCTTACCTAAATCACTGTTTTTTCACTTTGCAAACAACAACATGTTAACATTCTTATGCAGCTTCACTTTTCACATAGTAAATCTGCAACAGGATTTAGAGCTACACCAGTTTTTCACACTTATTAAATATTTCTGACTGAATATTCTGATTTCCTGTGGCTCCCCTGCTGCATTCTCGCCGCTCCATTTAAAATATTCTGGAAATGCTCCTGGCTCGAAAGTCTGAGTAAAAAAGCGAAACGACAGAGCCAAAGTTTGGGGATTTTTTGCTCACAGCTTTGAGACATCCAGCTGTGTGAATTACGGACTGCTTCCCTCTCCTTCCAAAGGAATAAACACTCAACGCGGCAACTATCACTCGCATCTTGAGTGCAAAATAAGAAATGCTTTACGGTGTTAAACTTTGTGCAAATTACAGTAAGTTTTCTGCCATAAATGTTTCATTATTTCATGGAGTGGAGGTGTTGCGCTCTTTGACTCCAGCTGGTCACAATAATTTTCTGTGTTTATAAATTAAATGGAAATTAATTGCAAAGTTTGTGGCTGCCTCACACCAGGTGACCTGTGCTTCTAAAGACTGAGTTTGAGGTTTCTGCACACTGAACCTCTGGGCAACCAGAGTGTCAACGCAACTGCTTACAGTGGATCCCAGCCAGCAAAGAAATTCAATGCGATCAGTCTGTAGTGTTTGTCGGAGGCTGCTGTCCTATTTTTACTCTGCTGTGACTGAGGCCTTAGAATGACAAAGGGGTTATTGGTAGGTAAGTTTGGGTGTTTGGGCGAATATATCGACTGTGGTCGACGGGTTTTACAAGGAACATTTATTTATTTAAGTAAGTTTGTTGATAATGTTGGTTGAAGCAGTCAACAGAAATAAATAATACCGCTGTTTTAACGGCACCCTCCTCAGAGTGCGCCCAAACGTAGCAGCGATTCATTTACTCAAACTCATGACAGAAAGAAAGAACAGCTGTAGCCAATGTTCAGAAAAAAGCGTTTTATTTAAATAACAAAACACACAATGGTGGGGAGGGAAACAAAGACAAACTGGCTTCTTTTTTCTGCTGTACCCTGTTTACAGGCCGATCCAGTGTTCATCTGTCTGACACACTCGACCAAACAACAAGTTAAAAATCGAAACGTCTCTTCCAGCTGCGATGTAACGTTAAGTCTCAAATAAATAAATAAATAAATAAAGGAATAATCCAAAAAGTAGCTTCACTCCCTCCAAACAAAACTTCAATTCTTTGACAGGAAAACAAGCATGTTTCCTGTTTACTGCAATGTTTGCGGAGGTGGTTGACAATATTGCCGGCGGTGTTGAACATGCGTCCTGGAGGTGTGCTTGTGGCTGGTATACAAGGATATTTCCGTGACATCACTGGGCGATGCATTGTCCAGACCAGTGGATCGTCTTCTCCGTCTACGACCTCCTCGCTGAGCTAGCAGTCTGTTTCTATCTGCGCCTTCGCCTCCAGTCTGTAATTGGGCAATTCGTTCGTCCATGTTTGGACTTCTTCTGTGTTCTAAACGTGCAAATCAGTCCGTGCATGATTGCATTGCTCCGTCCATCAAAATGTCTGTGCATGTGCAAATGTATCGCCTGTCGTCGGTTATTGGACTGACGATTGTCAATTGGAGAATTTTTACATTTCACCCAAACTTATTGGAAGCGAGCTAGCTCATCCACCCTGGTGCAATTTTATATTTCAAGGTAGAAAACCTCCTAGAAAGAGACTGGATGGACAGAAACAACTTGAAGATAAGTTGCAGAAGCAAAAAAGAAAAGAAGTAATTAATTGATGAAGAAATCTCTGCACAGAATCACTAAAATCACACATCGGATCTTTTATTGAAATAAAATTCAGGTTGAAAATCTATATTTACTGACATCCATCCACTGCGTAATTTCTCTCTAAACGGGCACTAAAAAGATCAACCTCTTGAAGGCTGCATACACACCAAATATCAAAGTCAAACGTCAGTTGTGTGCATGGATCCAACAAGCAGGTTTTATTGCAGACGCACACAGAGCGGTGCTACAACGGAGATAAACAGACAATTGTTGCTGATATTATTTCCACTGATGCTAAAATGGCTCTTTCAGCTGAGCGTGCTCCGGGGTCATGCGAAAAAAATGATCAGTAAAAACGAATCTACGCACCTCTGAATGAAACCAGCCTCGTACCTATAATGTAACATCAACTTAGACGGTAAGCAATTACTTAAATCAGGACTTAAAAAAGAGACTTTGAAAAATTGCCCGTGTTATCAGAAAGAAGTCGCCTGAATGAATGGAAATGCTCGGGGAGTCTAATTCTTCAGAAACAACACAAACAAGTGATTACGCTGCAGGCCAATTACACTTACTTTATTCATTGCATAATGTCACTCTTCCATCTCCATAACTAGAGGTTCTTGCACTACACAATTTCCTTCATGTCCTTGAGCCCATTTTTCATCAATATATCAGTTTCACTGACAGCAGGGACAATTTGCCATTTTCTTTCAGTATGACTGCGGAAGAAATGGCAGCTGAATGACAGAGAATGAGTGACAGACCAACCAGACCTAACTGCACTTTCCTGAAAGCTTTTGGGCATGAAAGAAACATGTTAGTCTTTGTAGACAGGGTGCAGATTCAGGTCACAAATCTGGGCTGTTAATCAAGGCTTTTTCACTGGTGAGAGCAAGAAGAAAGCGAGGGGAGGGACAGAAGCAGGGAAGGTGAATGAAGGCCTCTGAGTTCCTTCACTTTAGGTTGTTATCTGATACTCTGAAGTTTTATTGTGCCTTTATTTATTTCTTTCTACGCTTCTTGAAGCGACAGAAGATGAATCCTCACAAGATGAATCACTGCGGTCACAGCTCACTTGATCATGTCAGGAAGACGCACCGTCCAGTTTCCACTTGCTTAAACACGCAAAAAGTAGACACGCATACCTACAGTGGGAAAATACATTTTTATTCCACGAGACATGTCAGACACTTTACTTGCAGTGCAATTATTTTGTTTCCTGTAAAAGCCTGACTTGTTACCCTCTTATTCTAGTGTGCCTACATTTAAGTATTCGTAACTATAATTATGCTGTAATTTCAAATAAAATACATTGAAATTCCATTAATAACAGGGGAATTATGCCCTTAGCCGTGGGTTATATTATCAAGTGTTACTGAATTTTCATCTGTTTGAATCTCAGTGATCTCGACCTGCTGAACATTTTCCAAGTGCAATCATTTAGGAAGGAAGTCACCTACTACTAGTGCATCTACTAGGAGGCTGAGGGGTAACGCTGGTGGCTGCCAGTATCTTTGTCTCTTCTGGGATAAAGGTGTGACTTCCTCACATCTCGCATCTCCAGAGAAGAAAGACAGCAGCTGGACAACTCCAAACTTTTATTTGCAGGAATTTGACCGATGGCTGTCTACGTTTCGGGTCTTGAAGAGCCCTGAAGATGATGCACCACCGACCATTCACACAAAATCTTCCCCGCAGCGTGGTGCAGAGGTGTGGAGGGCTGAGTGTGTTTGTTTGTGCGTTAAAATGTTGCCACAGTCAATAACTCTGCTCCCTCCTTCAGTTTAAAATCGAATTTTGACTTCCACTACTGATTGCAGCTTTCCTTACAAACTACTGTATACGGGGATCCACTGAAACTCTTCCTGGTGTACTAAATAATATGTAGTAATGATTCTGGACACATAGCCTCTATTCATTCACTCGACTGACCACTTCTGCTCTCGCTTTTTCTCATCCGTCTGTCCCAGTCTGAACGTGGTGTTTACAGACAGTAACCGATAATTCCTGCTGTATTTCTGAAAGTAAGCAAACATTTTATTTTTTTTATTTTTACTGTGTGATCGCACAGTCAGTCTCAGGCCGGCTAAAACGCTCCGAGTGCTCGACCAATCAAACATTTTTATCGCTTCAAGCTCCAACCCCAGAGGACCTGAACTTTCAGAAAATACTACCTTCCCAGGGCTTTTAGGGGGCTAAACTAATTACCCCAGAACTTAATTTAGACCTGGTTCCCTGTGGTTGAAACATGTTGAATTCCTTCAAAAAGTGCTGCTCCCTGGTGAAAGCTCCCGTTTTATGGAAGTGTGGCTAGAGAAAAAGTGGAGGAGCGACCGAGTGAGAAAGAGACGGTAAAAAGAGAGCAGAGAGATTGGGCAGAAGGGCTATTGGCTCATGTGGCTCATGAGGATTAGCCAACCCTAGCCTCAGCCACCCCCATCATGCTGCACCCCGTCCAGCTTTTGTCTGATCACAGCCTGCCCAGGATCATCCAGCTAGCTTGCTAGCCTATCGTCTGGCCCCTCCCTACAGCGGGCCACGGCCCCAACACGGATGAACCCAACAGGGGGCCCTGATATCACATGGAGACAGTGAAGCGGCGCACCTCGGATAGCACACGCCAAATCCAAGGGGAAGCGCTCCCCCCGCAACCTCCTCTCGGTCTGTTGTTTGATATTTTATCTGAGGGACTTAACAACAATCAAACAGCCTCGCAGCTATTGTTGCTGATGAATTCAACAGGCTTTGAAAACGACTTTGAGGAAGAGAATGGAAACGCACACTGTTTTGAACCCTTTCAGAGGAGCCACCCCCACCTCCCAAGAAGTGAAACGGGGTAGACATCAAAAGTACCCCCCGGGGTTGTGTTCCTCAGTTGTTGAGGCTCTCTCACAGTCAGGGGTATGTCCGGGGTTGTAACGGGGGTTAACTGTACCAGGATTTGTTTTATCCCCCTCAGTGTGTCTGTCTTCCTGTATGTCTGCGCTGTGTACGCACGCATGGAGAGGGAAAGGCTGCGTGTTTGTATGTGGTTATCATGCGTACACTAGACACTGTACATTAAAATGATTCTTTTTAGATGCCATTGACATCCAGCTGGTAATTTTGTGCCTGGAGGGAGACCGAATCGGCTCGACAAAGACTTATAGGGAACTAATTTAACAACAACGCTGTCATTACATTGTGCAAGCAACATTGACTTCATAATGATGAGTTAAAGCGAAAAAGAAGAATTTAAATATATATATGTGTGTGTGTGTGTGTGTGTTAAACTACTTCTCTCTGCTCTGCAGTTCATCTTGGGAGACCATCTTCAGCAAGAGCAGTGAGGTGGTGTCACCCCAGGAGCTGCAGTGCTGTCGCAGGCTGGTCCAGCTGTGCCGAGACTGCCTGTTGGTCGTCTACAAGTTTGTCTCAGAGTCTCGCGGTTCTTTGACCGGACTCAGCCCGGAGTGGGATGACACCAGGTGAGATGGACATCCGAGCATTTCAGCTGTATTTTTGAAAGATTCTTCTAGCTTCCCGCTGCCACAGAGAGCTAATTATCCATCCTCCATACTGTATAAGATCTGAGGGTGTTCAAATGTCATAGGTATCCTCGTGCACAATGTTGAGATTAACTCCTGCAAAGAAAATTGAATTGAACTGTTTAAAAAAATGGTAATGGATTGGTCCAGGAGGCATCTTTAGAAATGGGTCTCAAATTCATTATTATTACAGTTAATTACCAGCAACAGTTTAGCCATAATGGTATCGCAACAAATTAAAGGAATTAGACATTATTTGCTCTGCACATCTCTCCACTGGGCTTCGGAACAAAGACACTTATTTCAGTGTCTTCCTCCAATCTTTAGGTGTAGCTGGAAACTTGTTAAAGCACCTATTAATAAACTTACAACTCTGACAAAAACCCACTGAAACTGATTAAAGTCACTGATACAGACAGAAAAAGACTCTGATTTAAAATTTCCAGCCCTATCATCATCATACCTCTGTCAGAAAACATTTGCTCTCTCGCCTCCGCAGAGCCTTAAAGACATCATCTTCATTAGGAGACCCTGATAAAAACAAACAAGCAAAAAAAAGAAAAAATCAGCCTCATTCTGTTTTTTAAGGTTGATCCCCGCAGGAGACAGCAGCTTGGGTTTGTAATGAGTGAACTTTTAAATCACATATGCTTTGGGCTGGCAGACAGGGAGGGAGCTGGGTCGGCAGTGGGAGAGAGGGAGTGTGCTGTTAACAGGAAATAATGGCCCACAGATTAGCGCTCAGGTTAGCCCGGGGCCCCTCGAGGCCTGCTTAATTCAATTAGACCCCAGATGAGCCTGTGCAGCAAATGACCTTACGAGAGAGAGCTCCTTATTTCCTGGGGCCTCACTTTACATGATTCATAACTCTTGCGCATATTTTAACAGGCTATCACTTTGCACCTACTGTATAAAAACCTCAGCTGTTAAAAAAGTATTAAGGGTTTGTGTATGGTTGAAGAGCCGGTTTAGGTTTTGACTATCCTGCTCGTGTTTTTTCTTAACTCAGTTTGTTCAGATGTGATAACGCGATGAAATAACTAACAACTAGAATTCATAGCTCCATCAAGCCCAGTGTGTCCATATACTCGCTGTAGGTATCCTTTAAGCACGCGTTGGTGTGTCTCTCCCTATTTCTTGTGTCTATATATGTCTGTGTAAAAAAAGCTTCCCATTTGCTGCTGGACCAACCTCTACCCATGGCTCCACTCCTGCTGCTGTCGCTGCCGCTTCCTCCTCCTCCTCCGTCTCTTCGCCCCTCGATGCAGGTCTCTGCTTGGTTTAGTTCTGCTAAACCCCCGCCCCCCCTCCCTTTCCCCACCATCTTCCAGCACTGTCCCTACTCACTGCTTTCTGCTGCCTCCACCACCCTCACAGCTGTAACACAGGCTTGATCCCACTTGCCCAGAGATGGTTGTTTTGGCTGCACAACCAACAGTCTAGCATGGTCTCCTCTTCTGTCCCTCACTAGCATTTAATAAATAAGCCACGCTGAGATTAATTGATACGGCAAAAGAACAGGATGTGTTTTAAATGCTCAAATAGAGCAAAACGGTGACAAAGTGTGTTCAGAGGGAAAGAGGCGTATTCAGACTGTTTGGAGCTCTGCTGGTCAACCCCGCAACCATTCGGCCAGCTTGCAGCGCATCATCCTTTTTTAACCACATGCTTTACAACTGCGCCTTTCACTCAGTGCTTTTTATCAAGAGCATCTCACCCCGAGTGCATTTTCAGTACGAGTGGCCTCGGCGGGAGCCGAGCGTCTCACCTGCACCGCATCAGTGCCATGATCAACCCTAAGCACCCCTCTCTTCTTGTCACAAGAAGGCAGCAATTGGCTCGGCTTCACATGGCGTGGCTTGCAGTTTCACGGCACAAGTGGCTCGCATCTCTCCATCAGGCATGCAGGGGACAGTTGCAACCCACCACCACTTCAGATAGCTGAGAAGCAATTAGGATTATTTTGTCATTGATGCATAAGCTTTTTATGAGAGGGTAAATTGTGTGTGTATGAGAGCGCGTGGGTGTGCATGCACATGTCATGTGACTGTTACACAACGATCATCAGTCCCTCTTCAGTAACTCGCACTCCACTAACCTCCAACTACTTTTCCTTTGCTCTGTTCCCATCCAGCTGCACAGGAAATTTGGAGGATATGTCACTGTTTGATTGAGTTTATCTGTTTTTAAAGCAACATCTTCCACAAAAAGTGGAATTCACGCTAAACTTTGGAAGGTGCTTGCTTTATTTTCTTGGTGATGCGACATCAGCTGGACTAAACACACTGCATCTTTGCATGGCAGACAGATTGTGGATTTTGCTTAAATGAATATTTGCATCACACAAGTAATGACCATTATGCCTAAACATTAGAATGTGGTTAATGGTTGCTTTAATCGAGACTTTTAAATAAATACATTGTTACTAATTACTTTACAATAATAAACTGAAGCTTTCAGAACTTTTCAGGCCTGAATTAGAAAAATGAAATACACTCATCCACCTGCTGTTGTCAAAGACTGCAACACTGCAGTATAATAAGACCATATTCATTATTGACACTCATATTTCTTATTCCTCAAAGGCTTTTAAGGACATGTTTTTCATAGAATGATCCATTTGTATTGGGCTTTCCTTTTTAAATCTTATAGATAGCTATGATGGCCTCAAACACTTTGCTATGCAACATTTAAATGAGTTTTGTACTGTAAATTCAACCCACTGTCTCATGTGCGTGCACACACATACACCAGCCTTTGTCACACATCAGCGTTGATCGGGTCCACGGGGTCTCCATTGTTGACCACACCTGCCTGCTCAAGTTCAAGCATCCTCCCCGTGAGAAGTGCCCCGATCAGGTGTGTCAACAGCCTGGCGGGGTTATAGGCAAGTCCTTCGTCCTGTGTGGGCAGATGAGAAGAAGTAGCCAAATAGCCCCACTAATGACTTTCTTGTTAAGCTTGGAATTGCTGTCAATACCCAAAGACAATTTTCCCATGATGACAAAAGTTTCAGATCCTATTAACTTTCATTTGTCTGAAAACTGTGGCAGTAATTAGGGTTAATTGGGGTGTGGAGCTGAATGAGGGCTGCAGATAACCTTCAAGCCTCTTTTGTACCTCTTATTTCTGATTGCATCAGCTATCGCAGCAGTCTCCTTCTCCTTCCTCAGTCATGGTGTTTTGTTTTGTCGGGGCCTCTGTCATTTCACTGCGGCAGTCGAATTTTGATGGAGGACTTAAGATCGGCCTGTCAGGAGGAACTGCACTAGATTGTAGCATTGCATGTATGGATTGGTGCATAGAGTGTGTGCCTGTCAATTGATGAATTGAAGTAAAGCACAAGTGCATGAATGAGCCGCAACCCACTGGCTTTCAAGCATGCACATTGTTGCCAAGACCTTCTTAACAATCAAACAGAGGACAAACCTGGAAGAAGCTGAACGAGGGTCCAATTAAATGCAGCCTGCAGAGATGACAGCCATTTGGACATGAGAAGATCCCCCCCTCATCTCACCCCATCTCACCCCTTGCCAGTATCACCACAGTGATTCTTTTTATGAGCTGAATATTCTCAAAGTGACTAGCCGAGGATCTCGGAGAACACACACTTGGCCCCTAATGAATGTTCAGTATTCAATTTTCTTATCTTTTTTTCCTCCCTCGTGTCTTTTCTTGGAGTTTACAGCAAAAACTTTGGAAACGAACTGAAGCGTGACACTGCAAAGCTACAGAATTCCCGGTGGATGTAGGGTGAATCTTTACATGTTTTAAGGTGTCGAGCACAGAGAGGAGAAACATAAGTAAAGCAGGAGTTAATCCAAAGGGTGGCACCCAACACCGTGCTATAAAATCGTTAGAAGGCTCTTTTAAGAGCGCACTTTGAGCTACCTGCTGGGAACGGATGTGAAAGGCCGAGAGCAGAGCGTATCCTGCGAACCTCTCTGGCGTTTAAGTGGAGAACTTTGAGATGAAGTGTCGGACTGAGCCATTGTTCAGCCGAGTCCAGTCACAGATGAAGATGATGTGCTGGAGGGATACCTGCGGCCCACTTGAAGCCGTTTCAAGGACACTCTCATTGGAGTAAATCAAGTTAATTTGAATCCCTCCTAACTCTCCTGGGTCTGGGGCTGTGTTGAAACAGATGCCCTTAGCGACATGCTTTTTTTTTTTCCTCCCCTTTTCCGGTCGACTTCAGAAGAAGCTGCTCAGCTAATTTGTCCAAGAGCTATTTCACAAGAAACGAGGGCTGTCAGAGAAAAAGTGTGCTATCGCTGCTCTGGCTTAAAAGGAGATATTATTTCTTCGCTCTGTAATCCTCAGCGCCAGTGGCTCCCTTTTGATTAGATTGTCACATCTTAAGAGCTTCCATGGGGACCGTTCCCTTTGACCATTGTACTCATTTAACTAAACGAATATTAGATGTATTTTTATTATTAGCTTAGGATTTTTGCCACGGATATAGCAATAAGATCGCATAATGTCTCATATCACAATATGAATGTGTGCTGGGAAAGCCCATAAATGTAAATCTTGTTCTAAGCGATCAGTCTAGAAGAATCCAAGCATCCCGTCTCATGTCTTCTGAACGCTACCCTAACATTTGCATAACCTTCAGTTAACCTTGTCCAGGATCCCGATCATCTCATCTGACATTTCTCTGACAACCATACCTGACTCATTTCCCTTAACTAAGGAAGATGGAAGCAGGGTTCAGCCCTCGCCTTGACTCAACCTGACACTGGTCTCATTCTCAGGTACTGGAACGCTGTTAGCAGGAGCTGCCTCACTGCTCTGTCTCGGTGGAAGGTGTCATAGAAAAGTCTTAGAAAGGTACTGACGCCTGTGCCTCGGAATGATAGGTGAGGATTTTATGTTCATGATACCAAATAATGTAAGGATCAAAGCTGAAAACCCCCAAAAAACAGTTGTACTGAGAGAAAAGACAGTGGGTATGAGGTCCATGATTTATTACTGTACGAGCAGATGCATAATTACTGCACATAACCTAATTAAACAGGACCGCAGCTAAGAGCTCTGTGTGTATGATACTTTAGATTTGGTACATTACACAAAACTGGAGCTGAAAAGATTAAAAGATTAGAACATAAATCATTATTTTGATAAACGCAAGAATCTCCAAGCAAAGAGAAGAAAGCCAAATGTTTATTATTTTCATCTTTTTCAATGTGAAGATTTTTTATTTGTTTGTTTTGGTTAAATGTGATTTAAAAAAGACTATTTGGGGCTTTTTGGACCGTTGAACAAACAAAACCAAACATCTGAAGATGCCATCTTGGTCCGTGGTGATATGTACAACTGGCGCTTTTTACTTTCTTCTGGAATTTTCTAAAAAAAAATAACGTAGCTGTTTTAACAAGTGCTGCAGTTCATACGGATCTCACAAGTCTCCAGTTTTTCATTTTTTCTACTCTTTTCCCTTTTCTTTCCTTTTCTTTCTTTTTAATCTTCAAACTTCCAAGCAAATATTAAAGTTGAATTGTGCAAATGGAGATGGTCATAAGTGGTAGAACCATTAATGAAAAGTTGGCTATATGCTGTCTCAGTGCCTACTCAGGCGCCCCGACCTCTAAATTGCGACCTTTGCATGACTAATCCTCTCATTATGTTCATCCTCTCTCCTAATCCCTCCGTCCCTCGCTCTTGTCCGTCTGTCCAGGTATCTGCTGCCAGTGACCTCCCAGTTCATCATGAAGTGGCCTTCGTCCAGCTTTGGCAGCATCTCCTCAGCCGTGCCACGCTCCCGTAACCTTTTTGCCGCCAGGATGGGCCACTTCTGAGGTCACCGTGGCAACCCTGGCCTTTTGACCTCCCCTCTCCTCCCCAACCTCGCCTCCCTTGACTTTTTTAGCCAAACCCAGATCTTAGGTGTCCTGTATAGATCTGAATTTGGTGCTGCTCTGGACCCCAGGTTGGGGCCTGGTTTTGGCCCAGTCTCCTTGTGGAAGATCAACAAAGCAAGGCTGGATGATTTGGGATCGCTAAAGGGAGCTGCTCACTCTGCTCAGCAGACCACCATTACCCTCAGTCCCCTCCCTCTAGCCCCTCGAATGCCAGGCGATGGGCTTGCCCCTCGTTTCTCATTGTAACTGCTGTATTATACTCACTGTACAGTTACAAGTCATGGTACTGTAAAAGAAAAGAATAACAAACACTAAAACAATGCAAGGATTATTTATTTATGTACTTATTTATTTTCTAAGGTTTTTCCATGACTGCAGTGAATGCTGATGCATAATGCACATGGACTAACAAAGCCATCCATCATTTAAATTAAAAAAAAAGTGGATGTACAAAACTTATTTTTGCCGACTATAATCAGTTATTTTGTTTCCATTTTCTGAAATGTTGAAATGTTATTTATTTCGTAACTTATAAGAGAGGCTTTATGTTAACAACGGTCACTTTATGTTCTCGCTTTTGGAGGTTTTTTGCAGTCCAGATGTGGTGCCCGGAGGACCCGAAAACGGGTCGCCTTTTGAATGCTAACGCTTCATGTTTTCCCTGTGTGATATTATTAAGTGCAGCACTATTGAGCAACACAACGGTTAGAATGTCAGTGTAGTAAAGCCGAGCCTGTTTGCCTCTTTAGAGAATGAGACGACTTTAATGCCACAGCATCAAGAGCCAAACCTCTCAGAGAGCGCACACCAGTTCCTAATATGCACTTTGCAGTTTGTAACAGAGAGAGAAGAGTGGCTGCACATTAGTAGTGCTTGCATGCCTAGATTTTAGTCCCTTTAGACTCTGATGTAGTGGTTAGACAAAGGAGCTGCGTTTGGAATATACTTGAAGTTCTGCGTTGACATTAATTATTCTCATCTTCTTTGTGTTTGGCTGCACTGAAAAGAAGACACTTCACTTTTATATTTGTCGTCTCGAGTTTGGATGCGTTAGGGATGACGAGGATCTGTTGCACGATTTAGAGATTGTTCGACACGCTGAATTACTTGGCTGATCTGTTCAAATGTATTGTACTGTAACAGCAGAGATTTGGCTGGGATGAGCAGCTACAGCCCCCCCCCCAACACCCACCACCGCACTGTAGTTGAGTGCTCGGGATTTCACAGATGTGCCAATAATACGCACGTCTGCATCATGTGTTGGTTGACTTTTATTTAAGGTTAATGTGTCATGAACTACTGTAAGCCTTCGGTTAAATGATTAAATGTTAATAGGGAGAAACATTGTGTCCATGTTTCGTAGTTTACTATGTGTACTAGCCCATGAGTTGATAACTAGAATTTCAAAGATGGTAGTCTGTACGCTACGGTGCGTTTTGTAACAGTTTTGACTAACAAGTGTAGCAGCAATGCTGCGCTAAATCTGCTCAAACTGAACTCTCCCCTCGTCCCCAGCATCCGTTCACAATGCCAAACATTTTTATTTTGCCTGATTGATTTGTCTTATTTAAGAGCCGGACTTTTTCATTGGAGGTATGAGATTTTTAATTTTACATAGCAATAAAATATTTAAACAAACTGATTTCACCTTTTTTCTCATTCATTAATATTATTATTACTTTTTTACACTATTTTAAAAAGTGGCAGTGTAGTTACAGATTGTGCTCTGCTTTCCTTTCCAATCAAATGTAGCCTTGGTGCTGAATTGGAAAAATTACAGAGAACGCAGATTAAATGGAAGATTGTGAAAAGGAGACGAAAAGTAAGCCGAGTATGACTTTCATTTTAAAAAAGAAAATGTGAAGAGGAGTTTCGCTTTTACGACCCCGTCCGCAAACCCTTGAAAGCCACATGAAAATGGGAAATAGGTGCAAAGTCAATATTTGTTATGACCACCAATTCAATTCAGTTTGTTTTATAGCACCAAATCAGAACAGCTTTGTAATGTGACAATTCTACAATAATAAAGAGAAAACCCCAAAATCACATGACCTGCTACGAGCCAGCACTCGGCAACAGTGTGAAGGAAAAACTCCCGTTTGACAGGAAGAAACCTCCGGCAGAACCAGGCCCATCGGCCACAAAGAGTCCTCCAGGCTTCTCGAAGGACATTCAAAGCTCTTCTTTGGATGTTGCTGCCTTTTGTTCCAGTCTCTGTCGAGATGACCTTTCATCGCTGCTTCGATAATGTTGAGGTCTGGGCTAATCCATGACTGATAGTGCTCCATTTCTACCCATTTATGCATTTACTGCAGTGGCTGAACAATGAAAACTTTAATCTGATGGCACTTTTTTCTTAAACTCAGCAGATCCCCGCAGGCTGAAATGCAGTTCCAAGCCATGACAGAGGCTCTGCCATGTTTCACAGATGACTGTAGACACTCACTGTTGTAGGTCTTCTACATAATGACAACAATTTGACCCCAAAACTTCTAATTTGTATTCATCAGACCTGCTGCCACTGATTTTCAGCCCAGTTCTCGTGTAACCTGGCGTAGCTCAGCCTTTCCTCCTGGCTTCGTGAAAACCATCCTTCCACTGAGAGCATTTCTGATGAGGCTTCAGTGAACAGTAGTTGGATCAACTGTAGAGACAGATGCATCTCTTGAGTCTTGCGTCAAGTCTTTGCTGTATTTTCTTCTTAAAGGCATGACTTTCAGATCCGTTCACCTGCTGCAGATCAATTCTAAATTCAAGCTCGACACTTCTTCTTTTGTCTTCCACTTGTCCAGTTCTCTCAAAAGATTTAAGAACACACTGCACACTATGCTGAGCTATGCCAAGTTTTTTTGGCTAATAGCTCTTTGAGAATTACCTTGCTGTTAAAAAATACTATTTTATGCCTGTCAAACTGAGTTATCTTTGGCATTTTTCATAGATTCAGCTAAAGAAATTGAAACAAAAGATGTTTTGTTTTTTTGTGAGAGGCTGCTAAGATGCAGTTTAGTCCTTTACTGAGTTTTTTCTGTTATATGTAAACACACAGCAATGTGCACCACTGCTCATTCCTTGTGTTTGGTGCCTTTTTTTATGCCTGAATGATTCAAAAAAAATTGTGTTAGGTGACTTAACATAAAAACATTCCTGTGAAAATGATCAGGTACAAGGACTGGACTGAAAATGAGTGGAAAAAGCAAGAAAAGAAAAAATGGAAGTATTACTCCAGACCACTTAAAAATTACAGGTGGCCCTGTAGTGTAGCAGTTATACATTTGCAAATGAAAACAAACAAATGATTCCCAGTTTGATCCTGGGATAAGACATCAATCCATTTGGGGGATGCATCAGGAAAAAAGCCGAGTGTAAAAAGTCCCACCAATCAAAGTATGCAGAGCTACCCGCTGTGTCAACCTCTTGGGAATAAAGGAGCATATAAAAACTGACAAGTCTGGCTCCTTGGATGCAAACTGTACTGTACAGGTGGACAGGACCCTCTATTTCTCGCAGTAACTGAGTCAAATACTGTTGTGGTATTTGAGTTGATGGATTACTTTTTACGTTTTCGAAGGCGACTCTGAACGACTCATGCAAACTTTTTTTCTCTCCTGAAGTATCTGCCTTATTAACTTTTGAACTGTAGCATGTAGTTTAGGGTGTCAAACAGCCATTCACTGCTGGGGTTGGTTTCCAGGCTAAACACATAATTAGCTGCTCAGCTGCAGCGCTTTTAACAGCATCTAAATGTAAATGCAAATGTCACTCGGGTCTGGTTAGATGCCGGTGTGGTCGTCACTCTTCACAAACACACTGTCTGCCTGTGACACGGGAGAACAGCTTTCTTTACTTTGGCTCTCGCTCCCTGCTGTAGTGCTGACACTTTGGCAGCAGCTGGTGGGACGCCAATCAAACGCAGACCCTGACGCACCCCCTCCAGTCAGCTGAGAGGAGGGAAAAACACTCCGGGAGGACCTTTTTTTTTTCTTGCCTTAAATTGTACAAAACACTCAACAATAAACACAAAGTCAGACTTTTTTGTGATGACTAAGTGGGAGTGGGGTGACTAAATATGCTTTTAGCTTTCAGAGCCTGAACACAACCTAACCACGACATCAAGTTCAGGCTAATTACTGCAGATGAGTGTAAACAAAAAAAAATGCTGTGAAGTAACTTAATGGCCTGCCACGAGTCTGGGAACTCGAGGTGTGGATAACTTTGTCTCTTATGCTGACCTGAGACAGTTATGTTATAATTGAGCGAGAACCATTAAGTCAAAATCTGTAGGTGTTGAAATGGAAAGTGAAAAGAAAAAAAACAAACAGGCAAATTCAAGTGTAACTAAGTGCAAACACTTAATTTAAGTGCTGCTGTACTCTAATGGTTTTCAAACTCCCTGTCCATTCGATATCCATGTGGGTTAACCTCCAACTGATATTACATTTCACAGCAGAGGCCGTGCTGGACAGGTGACACTCCTGACCCGCCACTTGCCTCAGAAATGAGAGCGTGTGTGCATCAGCTATTTCTCGTTCTGTCTTGACCTGTAGATACCCTGCACTGACGTCTGTGCGTGTGGAGACAGAGGACAGAGCCAGTTTTATTTAGACCTGTAACAGCAGCTAACCTTACAGATTCTTGTGCCCTTTCTACCTCGCCCTCCCCGTTCCTGTCAACAGAAGAGTTGCAGGGCGTGACCTTGAGACCCTCTGGCCTTCGCCTTGGCCACGGCCCCCACAACCAGACGAGAGCAGGGGCAGTGACTGTCTGGCTCTGCGACCCTGCCGCGCCATCCAAAAATACCCCCACCCCCCCTTGCAATGGGACTGCACTGTTCAGTCCTGACCTTTCTACCCGTCACTCCCCTCATCCCCATCCCCACTGATTGCTCCATCCCTCTCTCCCCCTACCTGTGTGTGGTCCAGGCAGCTTTGCAGCCTGGTTTTTTTTCTTTCTTTCTTTTTTGAGCTAAACCCAGATGACCCAGTTTCGGGGCCCTAAGCCGACCTCTTCGGCTTGGAGAGTACAAAAGCGACTGGGAGCTGTTTGAGAGGTGGATGGTTCAGATGAGATAAGGAAGCACACTCTGGTGCAAAACACAGATGGCAAGGCTTCAAATCTGCTCTTAATCCACTATTCCAAATGACATGGAGGGAAAAGAGCAGCGTGGTTTATTCTGTAATTATGACTGCCTGAGCGAGGTGTCCAGAAACCCAGTTTCCCTCCTTTTTCTTTCAATCGAAGCTTTAAAAGTGGAGCTTGTAGTGGTCTGTGTGCATTCGAATAACAAAAGTGACCTTTCTTATCAGACAAATATTGCCTGTTTACTGCCTGTGTATGACATGGGGTTTGTGTGTGTGGATTATGACTCTCTCCTACCAATGGGGTGTGTAATGGCAGCATGCGCTGTACACTTAAGCCAAAGCATTATGACCACCCTTGCCTTATTTGCTGTTGGTCCTCTGCTTGCTGCCAAAATAGCTCTGACCCATACAGGCAAGTCTTCTGCAAGTGCCCCGTGGTATCTGGCAACAGGAAATTAGCAGCAAATCCTTTAAGTCCTGAAAGGTGTGAGGTGGAGCTGCCGCAGATAAGACTTGTTCTGACACATCCTCTATTGCAAGTTAATGGTTTGTCCCTCCTTGGAGACATGTTGGTAGGAAATCACTGTTGCTGACTAGGGGGACTTGAGAGTAATTCAACTTCTGAAGGATCAGCCATACTATACAAATATCATGAGATAGCATCATGGTTACCTGTGCAGTTTGGTGTCAGAATGTGGGAGAAGTTGATCACTGCAGTGAACAGTCAACCTGGTCTGGACAAACAGAGTTACTAACAGGAAGCTAGCTTGGATGATGCTATCTGCTAATCAAAGTGTAGCTAACTTTCCTTGTGTTGATTTGTTATCATTGCCATGACGATATCGTGGGCAGAGACACCCCCAAACATCCGAATCGCCCACAGTCATGAGTTAAACCCGTGCCTCTGTGTGAGTTCTCTCCAACATATTTAAGCATCTCAAACGCAGAAATGTCCAGCTTAGATTTTAGAGCTAGAATAGAGTAAATGAGGAAATGATCCAAGTCTACGGTGGCCCTGAGAGGCCAAACACACAACTTAAGAAAACACCAGCTGCAAAAGCACACAAAACACAACAGAAATAGGAAAAAAGAAAACAGAAATAGGAAAAAACAGATTTCCAAAAGCACAAGGGAAGTGTTTCTGGGGAAACAATAACCCGACGGACCAGTTGCAGGAACCAAAATATGCTAAGACACTTAAAAGAAGTGGTTTTGTGAGGAAAGAAAAGATGATTGGTACGTGTGTTAGCCTGACTATTAGCCTAAAACTCCGTCATCAGTATTATATGAATCATGATAAAACACAGCTAGCATGTTTTGGGTTCCTGGTGACTGCCGCTAACCTCCAGCAACCACCAGTTTCCCGTACTGACTGACGGTTACCGCAGGGTGGGAGGGGTTTACTGACTGCTTTCTAGACCTCTGTGAGCAGCCTTAGTTTCACAGCAGCTACTAAGGTTAGGCTGAGCTAGAGGGAAAAGCGTGCAGGTAGAAATGAACTATAAAGACAAAAAGCTTGTTTTTATTGCAAGCCTCAAGTGGGCATTAGAGGAACT